TCTCGAGGCCGTACGCGTCTTGAAACTTTTGGTTTTTAATCATAACATCCTTGCTGCTCTTCGCTTCTGGAACAGACACCATGTAGCGAATGGAAGCAGGTGTCGGCTGACAACACGAGGAGATGTTCACATTCGACAGTGAGGTGCATCACCTGAAAACTCTACAGCCTCAAGAGCACTGGCAATGAGGGCACCAAATTTTCTTACCACAGCACGGTTCCCAACGACCACGCTAGTGTGGACAACCGGGCTTCCTTGTCGGCTGCAGCGCGCGAATGGTGGAGGCAAGTTCAAAAGTGATGAGAGGGTGAGTGGATGCCCAACCAAAAAAAAGAACTGCGTTCTGTGAACGGTCCCAAAAACTTACAAGCCTGGATCGGTCGCCTGGCGTTGCAGCGGCGACTGCGTTGTAATGGTCACGGTAATGTTGCTGTTGCTGCCGCCGCTGCTGCTGCTGCCTGCACTGCCGGCGATGGGGCTGTAGGCAGGGGGAGTGTTAAGATTGGAACTGGAGCCGGTGCGTTGAGGCAGCGGGGCACTGCCAGCGCGAACCGCCGGCGAATGTTGAGACTGGACTGAGCTGATGGCCTGAGCTTGGGATTGTTGCGCTTGATGTGCCGCAAACGCAGCAGCGCGGCGCTCTTCGGTGGCCGCGGCGCGAATAGCCTCGGCGTTGGCGCGTGCCTCGGCATCCCGCTGCCGCTGAAGCGCAAGCGCCTCCTCGCGCAAGAGCTGTTGTGCAAACGCGGCATCGCGGGCCGCGGCATCTTGGTTGAGCGACTGCTGGCGCTGGACCCGGGCGTGCTCCTGCTGCTGCAGCGCCTGAGCAGCGCGCAAACTGGCCAGCTCGGCCTCTCGGATTTGGCCAAAGTACTCGCGGTTTTCAGCAACTGTCCAAACAGGTTTCAAAGTGTTTGTCGTTTCGTCAGGCATTGTGGATGACAAAACAAATCCGAAAACCAAAACCAAAGTCGTAAAAATCTGAGAAAGTTATGACTTTTTTTTTATGACTTTTTTTTTTTTTTTTTTGATGGCAAATTTCCATTCAATTTGAGCGCTTACTTTCGTCTTCCTGCAGCTGCTCGGCGTACGTCGCATCGGACTCGGCAATGACGCGGTTTTTCCACACACGTCGCACTGTCAAACATTATGCAGTCGAACAAACAAAATGTCATCATCACGTTAGTAATGCAAGCTCAACAAAAAAAAAACCAAATTGAAGCCGCAAAAAAAAAAAATAATAATAATAATAATCGTTGGAATGGCTGCTGGATGGCTGGCTGGGGCGGGTGTTTGGAGTGCTGTGCTGCGACCTGTGGCCGTAGGGTGGCAAGCAGCTGCTCCACACTGCCTGTGTATGCCATCCGTGGTCAGCCGCTTGCGGTGGTGGTGGGACTCAAAGGGAAAATGCAGTCCAAGAACAAAAAAAAAAAAAAAAAAAAAAAAAAAAAAGACCCAGATCAAAGCCACTCTCTCGAGGAAGAGGCAAAAGGCAGGCCAAAAGGAGAGCAGCGAGATGGCACAGAGATGTGAGCAAGAGATAGAGACGGGAGAGGCTGAGTTACCAGTGCCAGTGCCATCGGCAATGGAGGGCGGGAGATCCGACATTATGTGTGAGAGATTGGAAAAATTAATAATACAAAAACAACTACGGTAAAATGGTAAAATGGACTGCCGTTCAAGTTGGAGTCACTAATCTGGTCGCCGTTTTGTGGTTTGCGGCAGCAGGTCGTTCCATTGAAAATCCGACACCTGAAAACCCGGCATGGTTCAGAGAGAGCGGGTGTGGGGGTGGGGAAGTTGCTGGAGAGAGAGCTGGAGAGAGAGCAAGGATTGATTCGGTTGCGGAATTGCATATTTGGTGAATTTTCACAGCCTTATTCACACACACACACACACCGCGAGATCCTTTTGGGCAAGAATCAAACAAAAATACAGTACATCTCAAACGGAAACAAACAAGGCAGGAAGCAGCTGGGACTGTAAAATTCGCCGAAAGAGCACGTTGTTAGTGCGCGGCACGTAATTTCCACACAGCTCTTCGACGAAGCGAATTTACCCGCCACAGATTGAAACACGAATACAACACATCCCGCGAGTCATCAAGAATCCAACAAAGTGAGGATGCTACCAAAGAACGGACGTTCATCAGCAGCCTCATCAAGACAGTCAAGTGCAAGAGAGCCCATTTCACTCATGTCCTGACGTTCAGCTTCAGTTGGCCTGAGTGTTGAGTCCAGCATGCCAGCGATGGCTTGGTTTGTCACCGCTTTGCGCGCTTTTGACTTCAGCTTGGTGCTGGGTTTTTCTGCAGTCAGCAGTTCCAGCAGAATCATGCCAAACGCGTAGACAGCCGTCTTGTTGGTCATGCGGCCTTCCACTAAGAACTCTGGACACATGTAAGGAGCTGCGCCTTGCACCAACTGGGGAACTGCGCCTTGCACAAGCTGGGTGAAAATGTAGCTCTTCTCATCGAGGTGTTGGGCGCGGAAGAGACCAAAATCAGACACTTTCGCGTTGAAATGCGCGTCCAGCAGCACGTTGTCGGTCATCAGGTCGAAGTGAAACAGTGGCTTGTCAGAGAAGGCTCCCTGGATGTAGTGCATGCCACGGGCAACATCAGCCGCAATGCGATGACGCTGGGACCAGGTCAGTGCAGGGGTGTCGTTTTTGCGATTCAAGCGATCGCGAACAGAGCCATTGGGCATGAACTCGTAGACCAGGCATCGCTCGTCACCGTCTTCTGCATACGACAGAATAGCGACAACATTCGGGTGGCGGAATTTCGCCAACGAGTGCAGTTCCGACTTGAATTCGGCAGAGCCTTGCTTGGATTCGGCAGACAACTTCTTGATGGCAACGCGAGGGCCAGGCAAACTGGCGCCGTACACACGACCAAACGCTCCTTCGCCGAGCAGAGCATCAGCGGCAAAATTGTTTGTGGCTGTGACAAGCGTTGCGAGAGAAACTCGCGGGATGGGTCCTTCAAAGTTCGCTGCCGAGCCAACACCTGGTTGGTTGCGCTCCAGCACGTCAATCCGATCAAGTGCTGACTTCAGTTCAAGATCCTTGGCAGCGAGATCGGAGCGAAGCTGTTGCAGCTCCTGGTCTTTGGCAGCCAGCTCGAAGCGGACCTTCTGGTTCTCGGCCTCAAGGGTGGTAGCCCGAGTGATCGCGGCGCTGGTACGAGCAAAAATCTGAGCCAACTCAACATTCGAAGGAGCACGCTGGTCGTCAAGGCTACCAAAACAAACCAATGGCGCCAAAGCAAGTGAATGGCTTTGCAGTTCGAAATTTCCTTCACGAAAGAATCCAAGAAATATGCAAAGTCTTACTCCACGTCACAAATTGCATTGCCTGTTTGCCTGAATGTAGCGATTCCGTCAGTTGTGAGGAAGTTCTCGTTCAAACTGTTGTTGTCGGTCACATTGCAGAATGTAGCATGAGTCTAGCGATTGCGCATACTGAAACAACCCAATACTTACTCCAGCTCAGTCAGCGTCTCATTCACTTTGAGTGCCTCGGCGATCGCTCGCGCTCCCGCATCGCCAATCTGATTCGAACCCATACTGCTCGTCCCATCCATCAGTGAGCACCCTGAATCTACTCTCTGGAAGTCACCCACTCACATGCCTCTGTCGAAACGAGCGACTTACTCGAGCTCGGTCAGCGTCGTATTCGCTTTGAGTACTTCAGCAAGTGCCTGCGCTCCAGTACAGGTAATCTGATTCTCCCACAGACTGTCCGTCCCCTCCATTAGTGAGCACTCTGCATGTCCTTTGCTGAAACCACCCACTTGCATCCATTAGTAAGTTTGAGCGACTTTACTAGAGCTCAGTCAGCGTCGTGTTCACCTTGAGTGCATCAGCAATCGCCTGTGCTCCATCATCGCCGATCGGATTCTTCGCCAAACTGTCCGGTCCTCTCCATCAGTGAGTGCTCTCATTGTTCTGTGCAGTGAATCACCCATTGGCACGCAACAGCCAATGCAAGATGCCTTACGAGAGCTCGATCAGCGTCTTGTTCACTTTGAGTCCATCAGCAATCGCTTGCGCTCCAGCAGCGCCAATCTGATTATCATTCAGACTGTCCATCCCTCAGTGAGAAACTCTAAATTCCCTCTGCTTCAATCCTCCACTCACATGCGCCAGTCAAAGAGAGATGACGTACTCAAGATCGATCAAGGTCTTGTTCACTTTGAGTGTCTCAGCAATCGCCCGCGCTCCAGCATCGCCAATCCGATTCTCTGTCAGACTGTCCACTCGCTTCCATCAGTGAGCACGCTCAATTACACTTTGCTGGATCACCCGTCTACATGCATGGGTAAACGTCAGATGCCTTACTCGACCACTGTTAAAGTGCAGTTCGCTCTGACAGCCTCAGCAATCGCCCGCGCTCCAACATCGGCAATCAGATTGCCACTTAGACTGCTCGTCCCCTCCACCAGTGAGCACGAAGCATCCACTCACACGTGTCGGTCAACATGAGATGCCTTACTCGAGCTCAGTCATTGTCGTGTTCACTTTGATAGCTTCAGCAATCGCCTTCGCTTCTGCGTTGCCAATCTGTTGCTTGCACAGGCTGTGCTTCAAATCGTCAACACACACGCTTACACCTTCTAATAAATTCAGCTTTTGCTTACTCGAGCTGTTGACTCGCATGCTTGACCTCGTCAAACAACTGTTGCTGTTTTTCAGTCATATCCTGATACGACAGCATTTGGAAGCACGCTGAATCAATGCAGCAAAACTAAAGACTGCTCACCGGCGAACTCTTTTGGAAATGGTCAAATATGCATTGCTGACCCAAAGTGTTACTCCTCGGCGCTCACAACCACAGCAGACGAACAGGAATACGAAAAAAAAAAACAAAAAAATATATTTGTAAAGGAAGAGGAAGAGGACTACACAAGAGCAAGGAGATGAACTTTTTTTTTTTTTTGTTTCGCAAGACGCAAAGACAAAGACGCAAAACTGACAAACCACACGCAGTCACAACACAGAACACAGGCACTAGCAAAAAGAAACTAACTTGATAGAGGGAGTAGAGAACATTAAGAGGCCTGCATCTCTCGAGCCTTTTTTGCATCGATGGCCATCAAAATGGGTCGTCGCTTGCCCTCGTATCTATCCTTAATCTCGCTAATTTCTTGTTCCATTGCAGGGTCGAGTGACTCGAGGCTCTTTTTGAGTTGATCCAAGTCAAGAGCCTTAAGCTGTTTTGTTGAGAAGGAGCAAGGTCAGACCGAAAGAAGAAGAGTGAGTCAATGAGTCAATGTTGGTGGTTTCTCGACACTCCACCACATCCCCTCCCTCCCAAGCCTTCCGAGTGACCGTGCGAGAAAAGAAACTGCAGAGTTGAAAAAGGATAAAGCGAAGGAAACAGCATGCAAAGCTCCCAAAAAGCGCTCAACCGCCACATCCTCGACCTCCCAAACCCTCCCCACGCCGTCTTTGAACGAAGCAAGAGAAGAGAACGGGAAGAGAATAAAAGAAAAGTGAAGAAATAAAGAGAAAAAAAAATAGACACAATGGGCATTACTTGTTCTAAGCTGGGGACATTTTCGGACAGACCTTTCTTGCCAAAGCGCGAGAGGAACTGGGGCTTGTACGTTCCATCGGAGGAAACTAAAGGATTGACAGTCCATCGATCGAGTTGAACGGGAACGTCCCGACGAAATTAAGCGCGGAAATCAGAGGAGCCGAGTGAACGAGCGGTCGATCAGGCAAAAAGGCAGCCAGACAAGCCCCAAAAACCCCCAATCCAAACAAGAGCAAAAAAGACAAACATGCAACAAAAACACCCGGTGAGCGGTTGTGCAGATAGAAAAAAAAAAGCAACATTGCTTCGTTGACTAACGCTTCATGGTGCCGTCCTCGCCCATGACCATCGTGCCGGAGTCGCCAGTGACCATCGTTCCGCTATCAACAAGGGTAGCGGCGTCGACGTACGACTTGGTGGTGCCGGGGATGACAGTGCCAGCTTCGCCAGAGGCGTCTTCGTCGTCGTCTGGGTTGAGACCCTTCTCGGCAATCAGGGCGAGCGCCTCGGTCATGACCTTGCTGAGGACGGAAATTGGCGGGGCGTTTTTGATGAAGGGGTGCTCGAGCAGCTCGGCAGCCGTTGGTCGCTCTGCGGGGTTCTTCTTGAGGCACTTGGCAAGGAAGTCGTTGAACGACTCGGAGAACTTGTCCTTCTCGGACAGGGTCGGCGGGGGCTTGGTGGGGATCATGAAGATGGCGCGCATCGGGTGGATTTCGGCATACGGGGGTCGGCCCTCGGCCATTTCGATGGCAGTAATACCGAGCGACCAAATGTCAGCCTTGACATCGTAGCCAATCTCCTGGATGACTTCGGGTGCCATCCAGAAGGGGGTGCCGATGACCGTGTTGCGTTTGGCCATCGCATCGCTTAATTGACCAGCCACGCCGAAATCAGCTGCCGAGTCAGAACGACAAAGTGGGGAAAAGACCAAAAAAAAAAAAAAAAAAAAGTGAGAACAACAGAAAACAAAACACAAAACTAGCACAGAATCAACCGAAAATCGAGAAACTCACCGAGCTTGGCAACGCCTTCGTGGTTGAGGAGAATGTTGCCAGCCTTGATGTCGCGGTGGATCTTGAGCTTGCTGTGCAGGTACGAGAGACCCTTGAGGGCGTGCTGCAGAATGCAGGCAATCTCGGGCTCCTCGAGGACCTTGCGGCGGAGACGCATGACGTCGGCAACCGAGCCAGCGCCGCAAAACTCCATGATAATCCAGAGGTCTGTGTCCTTAAAGTACGAGCCATAGTACTTGACAATGAAGGGCGAGTCGCACTCCTTGATCATTGAGATTTCCTTGATAATGTCCTGGAGGTCGTTCTCAAGGGGCACCTGCTTGACGGCGAGGATGGACTGGGTGTCCTTGTGGCGAGCCTTGAAGACCGAGCCGTACGAGCTGTTGTTGGGACGAGGCGGGAAAGGGGGGAGACAAGGATTGAGTGAGTGAATTGCGATTTTGTTCACCACCACAGTTGTGTTTCTTGTTGAGTTGTAGTTTAAATTTCTGAGTGAAAGTCGATTTTTCTTCTCTTTTCTTTCCTTTTCGTTTTCGCTGTTGTTTTTGTGGTTGTTGTTTGTTGTTTTGTTTGTTGTTTTTGTTTCCATCCAAAATGATTCAAAAAAAAATACAACAAAATAAAAAAAATCAAACGATCCCTTTTTTTTTTTTTTTTTTTTTTTGTTTGTTTGGTTTTTTTCTGTTGTTGCTCTGACGCAGTGCATGATGAAAGTGCAACGTGTGGAGGCAACGGCGACCCCCCCCCCACCTCTCAACAGGCGGCTTGCTGCGTTGGCACTCTGCAAAGCCAGCCACTCAACAACAACGGCGATTTCCAAATAAAAATAAAAACAAAAAATAATCAAATAAAAAAAGAAACAGTGGATTTTTTTTTTTTTTTTTTGGAGCGAGTCGATGTTTGGTTGCGATTTTTGGCGCTTTTTGTGTGAGTTCGCTCCACGTTGACTCTGCTGCTCTCCGCGACACGCTCAAGCCAATCAGCAGAAGCAGGTGCACCTGACGCTGGCGGAAGAGCGATGGATGCAGCCCGCTGGGCCTGCTGTGAGGGGATTGCAGTTCCTGCCACACTGACGATTTTTTTTATTATTTTTTTAAGGTGTTTTTTTTTTTTGTTGTTGTTGTTTTAAGCAATAACAGTCAAAATCGCAGGTCGTTGCGCTAAAGTGACCGCTCGCGGCTGCCACGTCAGATGTCGGACGAGTGTGTAACGTCACACACGACAATAGACGAGCAGCGAGGTCGGGCGGAAAGGAGAGTGTGGGCCGAGCAAAGCAAACGATCGACTGACGAAGAATAATAATAAATAAAAAAATAATAATAAAAAATAATAATTTGAAGTTTTTTTTTTCGTCCTCTGTTTGTTTTCGTCCACCTTTGTCGTTTTGCGCGCTGCCTCCCTTCGAGTGCACCGTGCCACACTCGGCTTTGGAGACGAGAAACACGAACACGAACACGAAGTGGAGGGGGGCGAAACGGGCGAGGACGGGACGCGTGAAATGGGAACGGATTGAAAAAAGCTGGCTCTTTTTTTTTTTCTTTTTTTCTTTTTTTTTGGTTTTGCCTTGTTGCTCCCTCCTGCTCCTCCGTTGCTCGTCGTGCCTTACCCTTCGCCGAGCTTTTCGAGGACGTCAAACACTTCCTCAGGCGCCTTCTTGAGGGCAGCTTCGTCGAGAACGAGATTGGCAGCCATAGTGAAGTAGAATTATGAATCAACGGATAATAATACAAAATGGACTGAACTTTGCCCAAAAAAAAAAAAAAAAAAAAAAAAAAGAAAACACAATAGTCAGTCTTTGTTGTTTTTGGTCAAAGCATTCGAACGACTCTCGCTTAGTTGTGAATACCAGAAGAAGTAGTAGAAGTAGTAGAAGTAGTAATAGTGAATTAATAACAAGAATAATAGGAGCGATGATACCGCGTCGATGGAAGCGATCGGCGGAGGAGCAAGACGACGAACAAGCAGACTTGGCGGCAATCGGAGGAGCCAAGCGAGCGAGGCACGACGCTGATGACGAGTGCAATCCGAGCGATGGTGCGCACTACGACTCGGCACCGGTCATCGACGAGCAGATCCAGCAGCTGATGGCAGCAGGAGCAGCACAGTACGACGACGACGCCACCTCCGTTGTTGGTGGATTTGGCATTGGATTCGAAATCGCGAGCGTCGCCGCTGGGCTAGAACATGAAGCACATGCTGGAGCACACGCTCAAGCACAGATCCAAGCAGAAGCAGTGCATGCAGCGCACCAGGCGGACTGGACTGGCGCTGGTGCAGCAGCCACTGACGCGGATTGGCAGCCGTCTGGATCAGAGTGTTTCAGCACCAGTAACCATGGTCCAAGCGATCAAGATCAAGACCACCACCACCACCACCACCTGACAGGCGTGGATCATACAACTGCTGCTGCAGAGACACAAGCAGGATGTGTCGACAGCTCAATGGCTCAAGCGGATGACAGCTCGCGATTGAAACCATCGTACGAAGACATGCTCATGTTCCATCACTTTGCGGTCAACCATCTACTGCCATGTCCTGAGTGTGGATCGCCGCATAACATTGATCACCATTGAGACTGGAAGATTGTTTTGTCTTGCTTTGTGCTCGTTGTCATTCGCATCAAAACTCATAAAAACAAGAAAAATAGGTCGTCCAACAAAACGCTCGCGTTTGCAGTTTCAGCGTGGATGCTCGCATAGCTGCAGTTCCAGGCAGTACCCCCATCTCCCTTCTCGGAGTATCGCCATTGCCAAATCCCAAAGCTTGCGTGCATAACTACAGCCTTCAAATTGCAAACAAACCGTTCTGCACAACACAAGAACAACAAAGCCCGTCGTGCTCAAAACAGTAATAGCCCAACGTATGCAATCCACATGCTTGTAACGAATGCTGAAAGAAAGTTCACCTGCAACAAAACAACAATGTCCAAGGTCGACGCAATGAAAAATTCAGTTTCTGCTGGACCTGTCTTCTTTCCTTCCTTCCTTCCTTCCTTTGGCAAACTCTGCCCCCTCCACCTCACCTGATGATTGTCAAACACATCAATACCCGAAATGTGTTTGGTCGAGTCGTTGTATGCAGCAACAATCTTGTTCGCTTTGGAATCGTAGAAGGAAATTTGGAGCAAGGCGCCGAGCAGCGAGTCGACAATCGAGCCGACCAGCCCACCGACCAGGCCCAACACAATCAATGGCCACTGTGGCGGGCATTGGTCTGTCGCGCGGACGAGCTCGTGGTGGCCAAGCTGTTCGTACACGAGATTTCGCAGCAGCCAAGCCAGCCACATGACAGCACCGATGGATGCGCCACCAGCAACACTTGCGCCCGTACCGAGCAGCGAAATTCCACCATTTGTACCAGCGGGAACCTACGCAGAGCGAGCCAAACGCAACAGAAATGAGCGGACAGGTGTATTTTTTGCCTCAGCCCTGTTGTGTGTGTGGTGCTCGTGGTACATACAGGCTTGAAGGTCGTAATCAGCCTCGGCGGAGTCTTGCTCAGGATGCCAAGTTCGCTGGCCCAGGTGTCGCCGTTGCAGCAAGCATAATGTCCAACGAAAGCAGCGCAGATGGCCGTTTCCAGCGGGAAACGAGCGCGATCCAGGCACGGCTGGTCTCCGCCAACAAACACCACATAGCAGTATGCAAGCATTGTTGCCACACCGCCGTTGCAAAACACCTACAGGACGAAACGCGTGAATGTCGCCTCAAAGTCGGAACCACCAGCGATTCTAAGACCTTTTCCAAATCGATTTTGGCCTCACCTGCATGGCGGTGCGACGACCACCTTCAACAAATCCGTCTTCGAGCTTTTGCTTTTGCTTGGCGCCAAACTTGGTGAGTTTGGACGACGACAGGAAGAAGAAGAGCAGCACGGCGAAAAACCGAAACCCGGCAAGCGAAGTCAGGTATCCGACAACCCTAAGAAAATCAAACCGGCAAAGAATACAATACAAGGGTCGGTGAGCATGAGCAACAGGAACATTTTGGGGCTTTGAGATGTACGAACGACAGGTTGCAAGAGTGATGACTGAGAGTGCATTGGAAGCGCAGGAGTGAGCAGCGCCGCATAGACGTTCGTACATGGCCAGCGCAGCACCGGATCGCGATAGACTGTTGCGCTTCAAGCCATATCCTGCAACGGCGGACGACACGAGGACGGCCGTCAGATGCGCAGCGGCGGTCGGAGGCTGATGCCCAAAAACGTCGAGCGTCATGAGTGCGAGTCTGAGAAATTGGGAAATAAGAAATAATATGAATAACGAAATATAAAAAAAACTTGGACTGAGAAAAGATGGATGGAAAATCGGGAAAAGGGGGGCTTCAATGGAAAATCCAATGCAGTGGTGATCCATTGAGCTCCATTCAACATTCAAGAGCAGAACGCAATGATACAAGCTTTGATACAATAGTTGAATCTGTCTCTATTGCTATTGATTCAACATTCGAGCTTTCAGTGAGCAGTATTCAACGCCATTGCCTTCGCTCGCTCCATCATCACCACCATCCGCTCCGCTCGCTCCACCGCACGACTCGCATTCACACAAATCCATTGCTCGTATTATTTTGTGTGCTGAATTCTACCCCCACCCGACTTTGAAATACGAGTTGCATATGGGCTGTGGTTGTCAGTCCTTTAACCTTCCTTCATACTGATACATGTCCAGCACAGAGCCAGCAGCGACCGAGTCCGAGCCCAGCGCTCAACAGCAAGAGCAGCAGCAGCAGCAGCAGCAGCAGCAGGCTGTGATTATCACTGTGCGCTGCATCCGCTCGTTCGAGCACCGCGCACTCAAGTCGCTCGTGCTGCACGGCGTCGACCTCGCGCACACGTCCGGCGGCGACCTCATGGCCCTCGTCAAGCAGCGTACGTGCTCCTACAAAATCAGATCAGAACATTTGACTATTTTTCAATGAAGATAGCTTGTGTGAATTTTTTTTTTTTTTTTTGTAATGGCCTGACGAACTGCTTTGTTATTGCTGGTTGGTCTGTCACACAGGGATTCAGACAGCGCCCGGGTTTGCCCCGTTTCGAGCGATTGCGTACGATACAATCAAGATTCACAGCCAAGCGTTTGGCGCAAAGACCAACAACCCGATTATCAATCTAGACCACGACGACTGGGTGCTGGATCCCGCACGCACGCTGCACGAGCAAGGTGTCAAGCACGAGACAGAGCTCTCAATGTACCGGCTTGAGGACTACAACACGTACAAGGCCCATCCGTCCACCGTTTGGTAGTGGCGCGGATAGCGTCAATGTGCAACTACTGGCATTGTGCTCAATCAGCTGCGTTGTGTTTGGGGGGCAACCGGCGAGCGGCTTTACGAGGGGGGTTGGTTTCTGAATCCAAAGTCGGACTGGCACTCTTCGCTGCTTTGGCTTTTCTCTACCGTTGCTCTCGGCGCTGTGAATTAATTCGTTGACGATGCCTTTTCCTTTGCTTTATCACCGCCTTGTGAGCTGTTTGTCTTTGTCTGTTTTCGTGTGATGCAATACAGGAGCATGTTTCAGCAATTGTCATGTTTTGTCCATCGTTGCCATTCCTCATTCACATTTTAGTAAATCCAGTCATGTCCAGCAGCAGCAGTAGTAGTCGTAGTAGTACTAGTAGTAGTAGTAGTAGTCCTCGCAGTCATCACCATGGCGGGGTGCAGTCGAGTGGCAAGGCGATCGCCAAGCACATGCGCTCAACCCAAGGCACCGAGTCCTCCGCCAAGCCATCGCACGGCCGTGACGCGCGCAGCACCAGTGGCAGTGGCAGCAGTGGCAGTGGCGTTGGTGGTAGCAGCGCTGGCGATGATGGGCATGAACGGCGCCGGGGCCAAGCTCAAGGGCCGCATGGGAAGCGCATCAAGCAGGACGACGACGCAGGCAGCCGCGGCCGAGAGCACCGCGATGGCCGTGAAGCAAAGGACCGGAGACGGGCATCGCACGATGACCAGGCGGACGTGGTCGCGCGGGCAACGGCCAAGTCCGGTCAAGATTCCTCCAATGCGAATCCAGTGCCAGCGACCAACGCAGATGGAGACAAGAACGCCGCGCTGTCAGGAAACCTCATGAAGATGAAGGTTTGGCCATGCCGTGCAAACCATTGGAGCTGTTTGAGCTGTTTTGAGCTGTTTTGAGCTGTTTTGAGCTGTTTTGAGCTGTTTTGAGCTGTTTTGAGCAGTTTCAATCTCTCGCCCAAACGAGCTTTTTTTTTTTTTTTTTTTTTTTTGTTGCTCGACATTGCGCAAAGACTCACGGTGATTGACGTTTGCGACTCGTTGCGTGTGTGTGTGTGTGTGTGTGTGTCACAGTTTATGCAGCGGAGGCAAGAGTCAGACCTGCGCAAACGACTGGAGCAGGAACAGCGAAAAGTGGTGGACGCGTCACACTGGACGTTGCCGCATGATGCCACTCCATTGTAACGCATTGATGTCTTGCATTCATTGCTGTAGTGAGCGACTTGTTGTCGTTGCTGCAAATGCTCACCGTGTTTGGGGCCTTGCATCCATCCCCCGTCAAACGTCAAACGCTGCAGAACGCAACAGGTGGAATTTGAGGACAGCTTTGCAGGTTGCGAGGACTTGTCGGCGACTGGCCGAAGGTCATACCAGAGCTTTAATCCACAAGTTGATGTGAGTGTCATTCCATTTTATGGAAAAAAGAAGTCTTGTGCGGCGAGAGCCAGAGCTCGGCACATGCTGAACATTCTGGTTTGTGTGTGTGCCCAACTTGTTCGATCGGCTTTCCCTTGTGCGCAGAAACTGAACAAGGAAACGCACAGGCAAGCTACTCTGAATGCAGCCGACGAGGAATCAGTGACCATATCAGCAGCCGAAATGTCCCAAACAATGGCCGCGAATCAGTCACAACGTCGCCAGCTTTCATAAACTCGAAAAGAAAAGGCTATCAAAAAATGTCGATGAATGTGCAATAAATAACATTAAAATCAAACCAGGCTGGTCGAGACTACGGATGCTGATGCATGCAACTACTCGGGCGGCGTTTCTTCTCGCAGCCGACGACTGAGGCGTTGGATGGGAATCCCGCGATTCTCGAGAAGCAGGCTCTCGCTTGCACCCGCAGTCACGGTCGTCCTAGGACCCTCATAGTCAATGTCGTGCCGAATCTTCCACTTGAGCAGATCGATGCAAGTGCTCGCATCTTCGGCAGAATCATGGCCGCCGCCTTGAAGCGCGCCCAGTTGGATGGCACGGCCGAGAATGTCCGCGCTGAGCGAACGGAGCGCCCGTTTGAACGGAAATCCCTTGGGGTGGGGAAACAAGACGCTTGTGTCGACCACTCGAGCGTGAATAAGCTGCTCCAGAACAGGAGCAGACGCAATAGTCGTGAGAAAACGTGCGGCATCTGGCAGGGCCGTTTCTACGAGCGCCTCAGGTGCGCACGGCAACCTCGCTCTTTCATCATTGTTTTTCAACATAACGTAATGCTTGCCTTTAACGCGTGAAGATCGCTCTCGAGGGAATGGCCGAGGAGGATGGTGCGGGCGTCCAGCAAGCCAAGCAGCCTTTGCTGAACATCGCGTAACGTGGTCTTGACAGGCGCTAGCTTGGCTGCCGTGATGCCGCTAAACTCGGTATTGTAGTCCAACACAGGATGCTGCGGTTGGACCAATTCGTCAAGCACAATATGCTTGTTGCAATCGACCACTGTGGCCCGTGCTAGCTCTGTGCCATTCGTAGTCGAGACCTGCAATTCACCCCGGATCAATACAGCGTACCGCCGTTGAGAATGCAAGAGGCCTGACCAAGCAAACACCAACAAAACTGAACAAGACGGAGACGCACCATTTCACAATCCACGCCAAAGCATCGAATGGCACTGGAAGGCGTGCACGTCGAATCCTTTCCCGTATCCATACAATCCGGAACTGTCAGTTCGGGTGCGCGTGGCACATGAAACGCTGCGGTTTTGCAGCCCACTGCGGAGGGAGCGGCCTCGCAGCAAGAGTAGAAGGCCATTTCGCCGCAAACCCATTTGCCTGTTCCGATCAGCCAAACAGCCAGCGATGAACCAGATGTCGCACCAAAAAAGTGTTACAAACCACCAGTTATGCAATAGAACGAGCAATGCTGCTGCGTTACCTCGACGACGTTGCCAAACCCGACCAGGATGGTGCTGGCATGTCGAAAGTAATGGCACTTTGCCGGACGATGATGGATCAGGCTCGACCCCCGATGTATGCACGTCATCCATGTCCAATAACGTGTCGCATCGCTCGCATACACGGGGTGCTGCCGCAGTGGTCTCGGATTGGACATGGTCCGCCGAGCTGAGAAGAAACCCATTCTCAAGCAATTGCTCCCGCGTCAGCAGGTACTTTTCAATGTTCTGCTCCATTGCATACTTGTCTGCATGTACGATTGGTGCCTGGCCCTGTCGACGCTCCTTGAGCGATCCGAGCGCATGCGCTGCTCCATTCGTGTAACCCATTTTGGAGTTGGCAGCGCTGTACACTTTTTGCTCCAATGCTAGGGCTTCCTTGTAGCCAGCGTCCTTGTCGTTCGGGTAGATGCGTTGCAGCTCGACAATAAAGCGATTGAGCACAGTGTGTCGGTTGGATGGCGGCACAATCGATCCCATTGACGGGAAGACCACCTGGTACTCGGTCCTCGCCTTGGCAGCAGCGGCAAGCGTGGCAGCCGAGCTACTCGGCGTCATTGCACTCGCTCGTGCCATCGCTGCACTCGGGCTTGCCAACGCAGAGTCGCCGCTCTCAGCAGCCGAGGAAGCACCGTTGCTCGTGCGGATGAACTTGCCCGCGCGAATCGAGTCCAGCAGCCCGCCCCCTGCCTTGGGCTTGGGTTGCACCAGCGTTGAAGGAGCAGCAGCACCGGTCGTGCTGGTTGCAGGCGACCGAGCCGGGCGACTTGAGCTTGGCGAGGGGGTGGCAGCGGCGCTCGAATTCTCAGACAGCGCCACGCGCTTGTTGTTCTGGTTGTTGCTGTTTGCGCTCTGCTGGTCCTGTGGTGCTGGTCGCTTGGTCCCGCCGTGGTGAGGCAGCATTGGAAATGAGTTTGATCTTTGCGTGAACAATGAAACAAAGTTGGGAAAAAAAAAAAAAAAAAAAAAAAAAAAAAAAAAAAAAAAAGACTGAAACACCGTTTATGTAAAATATCACAAAAGGCAAGTCAACTGCGTGCAAAAGAGCAACAATTGCACACAAGCAGGAGATAAGAGAAATCAACAAGAGCTCAGAATAACAGCAGGAGTAATAACAACATCAAAACAAAAACAAAAACAAAAACAAAATGGCAAAACCAAACAAAAACAAACAAGCATCAGAACAAAGTGAAGGGGAGAGAAGCGAATCAGAATCAAACAGCAGCAGCAAAACTCAAAATGCTACACAAATCAAGTTGGGGTGGCGGCGGCAGCAGCGACAGAGGACGTCGAAGCCTCGTACTGGGCAGAGGCAACCGACATGACAGACTGGATGGACGCGGTTTTGGACACCTTGGCCTGCTCGGCATCCAGATAGGCCTGAGCGGCAACCATGCACTGGTAGAACTTGGTGGCGGTTGCAGACGGCGGATCGAGCGTGTACGTCTCATAGTCGGGGTAAGAGGTCGAGTTGTGTGCGCAGTAGCGGAATTGCATGTTCCAAGCATCGTAACCGGGCGTGTTGTAGCAGTTGTTGACGAGATCGCTTCGGGAGAACGGACGGGGACCTGAATTGACCGCATCATACAACCCAATAATGTTGTCGGCCGCGTCGCTGCATTGCGTGACAATGTCAAGCGAGTCCCAGAACAACGAGAAGGGCGAAACGACCGTCGCGTTGCTCGGAGGGAGACACGTGCCGTTGAGCGCGCACGAGCCGTTGCAATTGAGTGGGGAGCAGAACACGGAGCAGTACACGCTCGCAGTGAGGTTGAGAATGCCACCAGCGGGATCGTTGGCAGTCTTGGGGTAGAAATCTGCCGAGCACATGGTGCATGGGCCATCAGGACCGTTCGCTCGCGATTCAATGCACGAGCAGTTGAACGAATCAAACTGCACACCGCGTTCGCCGTGCAGAGTGCCATTCCAGAAACCATTGGGTCCGCAGGAGCGGCAAATGCCCATCTTGTCGCAGACACCGTTGCACGTCGTGGCATCGCAGAACGTGCCGCAATAGTTGCTTGCGCCAGAAACACCGTGCGTTTGCCCAGGAACCTCGGGGTAGAAGCCAAGGTCGCAGACAGAGCAAGGGGTGCGACGATCTGCGTGCATCCAGCCCGTGCTGCACACGCAGCTCATGGCATTTGCATCCCAAGTGCCGTTGTGGCAGTTGGACGGGTTGCACACGGGGTTGAGGGACGAAATGCAGCCAGTGGTTGCGGAGCCCGTAAAGCCTGCCGGGCAGGGTGCACAATCAAAGGAGCGACGCTGCGTGACGCACGGCAATGTGCGACAATCCTCAATGAACAGCTCAAGAGGATCCTCGCGAAGGACTTCGACGTGCATGCCGGGAATGGTCGAGTCGTAGTCGGGGGACGAGACGCTCGAGACGTACACTGCACGCGAGCAATTGAACTTGTAGATGGGGCAGGCTGAGCCGCGCACGACGACCGTCGAGGCCATCTGCCACACCTCAAGGGAGGTCTCGGCCGAGCGTACCTTGAGGATGGGCTGGCTGGTCGCGGTCGTGGAGCCGACAGAAATTTCAAGAACAGCCTTGGAAGCGGAAGTGGCATTCAGAATGACCGACGTGGGCGAGGTCGAGGTGGCAAAGCGCGTGAAGGGCACGTGAAGCAGCACCGTGGCCGTTGCCGGAGCAGCCAATGCATTGTTGGGCAGGTAGGCGAGATAGTCCGACACAAGCGGGTCTTGCAAAACGACGCGATCAAACACAGTGATGCCGCGTTGGAAAACGTTTGTGCCCTTGGCAATGGTGGAGGACGACAGCAGCAGGTAGACGTACGGCTGCATACTGGCGGTCATAAACGCGTTGCTCAGGTCGGGAACAATCGGGGTCGGGTATTCGAGGTAGGGGTCGGCAAGGGCAGGCTCGGGCAAGACACCTCCGGCGCCGGGGAGCGCGGCCTTTGCGTTGACGAGATCAAGCACGCCAGGCGGCACGACAACAGAAGGACCAGAAATGTACACGGCATTCAGAACGTCATCAAAGGCAGACGCCTCGAGAGACACGCGGTCGGCCAAAATGGAGCGCACAATGCGGCGGAAAACCGAGTTGGCGTCCTGCAAGAGCGGAAGGCGAGGCAGGATGAGCGCGTCCAGCCCAAGGGTGACGGGGTTGCGCGAGACCTTAATGTCGACGGGAAGGACAACCGGCAAATCCTCGCCAATGGTCAGACGGTACGTGCCCTCGAGGTTGAACAAGCGGGCGTAGGTCGGCTGCAACGCGGCGGCGCAGGCCTCCAGCGTGCCGGCATAACCAAAGCAGCCAGCGCCGATCGCGATGCGCACTTGCAGATTGTCGAGCAAGATCCACGGCTCGGCGAACGGACGCCAGGCAGACGCTGAAGAGCCCGACAAGGTGATGGGCTCGCCAGTGGACCACGTTGCCTTCATGATCAAGCGGATGCGGTTGGCCCAAGAGTTGCCAGAGATCTGCATGCCAGTGTCGGCAATGTACTGGAACCGAGGCAGCGGCGTGCCAGTGGTGTGCGAGAAGGACACGAGTACGGTGGCAGAGTGGACACGGAAGGCACCGCCCTCGATGAGGTTGTACGCGGTCGGAACAAGCGTGAGCCACAAGGTGCGGTTGTCTCCAAGTGTGCGGGAGAACAAGGGGAAACGCAGGGTGGCATTGTACGGGATGGCAGAGGCAAGATTGAGCGATTCGCCAAAGCCAACAAGCTCGTCGCGCAACCAGCCTTGCAACGTGCCGGCAGACGCCAGCGTAATGCCCTCCGACAGACCAAGATCGGGGAAGTCGGCGGTGGCGATGGCAAAGTCCACACCTCGCTGCGAGCGCTGATCGAGCTCAACACGAGCACGGCTCGGAGCCGAAAGCGGGTTGCCATACCACAGGAACGACGTGAGGTTGCCCATGGAAGTCACACGCAGCGGGAGCGCAGGAGTGGTGCGGAGCGCAGTCTCGAGCTTGCGCGTCACATTCACCACTTTACCAGCACTGTTGCGATACAAGACCGAGTTCAGCTTGGAGACCACAACGACCGGCACCTTGGAGGACGACGCGACAGGCTCCCATGGCGTGTCGACTTCGACAATGCCATCCATGCGAATGGAGCCCAGGCGTTCCAAGTTGGAGGTCGCAAGTGACGCCGAGATCATCAGCTGGGACAGCCTCATCCAATCGCGATTGTACGCAGGCCAGCTGGTGGGTTCAACGACAAAGCCGGACAAGAGCGCAGTGCCGTGACCGTTGCGCTCCACAACGTAGCGAGCATTCTCAACGACGGCCGTCGCGGGCGAGAAGTACTGCGGATAGATGGACAGCAGGAAGCTCAAAAAGACAACGGACGCGCGGTTGGGCGTGAAGCTGGAGGCGAACGGGTTGGCGCTCAAATCGCGAATGTCGACAACAACGTTGCCCGAGACAAGCGGGCCGGACAACTGGGGCGCGTCCTCGCTGAACAAGTCGATCGGGGACAAGGTGTTGATGTGGAAGGAGGCAGAGACGACTTGACCGAAAGTGGCGTTCAGCGGTGGCTTTTGGCCGAGGGCGTAGCCGCGATCGAGCATAAATCCACCCCAGATTGGCAGAGCGGTCGCGAAGGGCGTGACGGAAGCGTTGAGCGCCTGTTGCGGAATGGAAGCAAGGAGCTTGGCAAAGGAGTCAAACCCAACGACGCGGCCATTGAACGTGGCAGAGCCAATCAGGTTGACACCCTGCAGAATAATCTCCGACGTGACGGCCTGACCAAACATGGAGCTCGTGGACGCCACGGTCGAGCCCACAACTTTGGCGTAGAGATCGGCCGAGCCCACCGAAGTGGCAGGCGTCGGCGCGCTTTCGAGAACGCGATGCAGCGAGTCGCCAAAGAGAACCTGAGCCGATTGGGACGTGAGCGAGATGGAGCTGACCAGCATGCTGGTGTTGGCGGCGAAATCAAAGCTGCCGAGCCACGACGTGAACACGGTCGTATTGGGGAAGGAGAAGTCGGGGCGCCAGGCACGCTGAACGGCAAGGTAGGTCACACCATCCACAGACAGCTCGGTCTGTGCAACGGTGGCGGGCACAGCAATGACAACGGCAATCTCATTCGTCGTGTAAGGCTCGCGGAGGCCAAAGAAGTTGATGCTCACATCGACGGGCGTCAGGAAGCCCATCTCTTTAATCCAGCGCGCACGACCGTTCAAGGCGACGCGTGGCGAACGAGGGAAGGTCGCGTCCATGGTGGTCATGGTCACGTTTACGAGCTGCAACGTCGAGTCCTGGACCCAGTTCAAATGCGTCGCAACAAAGCGAGCCAGCTCAGGGCCGCCGTAGCTGGTCAGGAAGGCAAAGGTCAGATTGGCGCCATTGGTGCCGTTGACCACAGCCTTGACCTGCTCGGCGAAGGAAACGAGGGTTTGCAGGCGGGAAGTGCCAATGCGAACCTGAACCGTCTGGGTGGCGTTGGCGCCCTGCGAGTCCGTCACGGTAATACGAACGCGGCCTGTGCGTGGCACGCCGGCGTCAGAGTATGTGTGAGAAATCGTCACTTGGTTGGTACCGCCATTCGTATGGTATGACTGCGTGTGCGGTGGGACGAACGACGAGGACGTGGGAGAGCCGCCGTCGTACATGGTTGCGCCAGACTCGGACGTGGCAAAGATGCGCGCCGGATCAATGGCAGCGTCAAGGCCAAGATCGTCCTCCCAGACGACAAAGAACGAGTGGCTGTCGCCAGAGCCATCATCCGCAAACGGCACAGCAAACGAGCACAGAGAGTTCTCGTAGCAGTTCACAGTCTGCGGAGCGTTCACGCGCGGAGCAACATTGTAGACGTGCACCCTCACGGAAACGGTGGACATGCCGCCTTGGTCGTCAGCCAGGGAGATGGTGGCGCGGTAGACGCCGGGATGGGTGTACGAATGGACGAGCGTAAAGCCAAGTGCGCCTGACGCCGGGACTTCGACACGCTCGGCAGACTGATCGTCCCAGTCGACCAGCGCAAAGAACTCGGAGGAGTCGCGATCGGTAAACCACACGGGCAGCTTAAACTCAAAGCCTTCGTTCACGTACACATCCGGCGCAGCGTGGATGGCCGGAGCAGCGTTGAACGGAGACGCGGGGCAATTGTCCGAGCTGCACATTTTGCTCGACGAGTATCCAGCCACAAAGGACTGGACGTCAATCGGGATTTTGCACATGAAGGGGAAGCGGGTGCCGGCGCATTGGTTGAGAGTGGTGGCGGTCAGATTACGCGAGGCGCACTGCAGCACCAGGATGGTCGACGTGATCGGAATGCCATCGGCGCCGTTTTGCGTGTACGTGTATGGCATGTTGACGTCGCCGCTACCATCCCAAGACTCGACCCAGTATTGCGGAGTCGTGCCAAACAGACGGTTGACATGCAGCAGCTCTTCACCAGCAAGGACGGCGAGTGCACCGCCTTGTGCGGCACACAGCGTACGCGCCTGTGGTTTGGTTGCGATTTGCGAGCCGGAAAGCGAGTAGCACGAGCCTCCAAAGGCAAAGGCGCATTGCGAGCTGGCAATCATGGCGCGAATGTTCTCGCCCTCCACCTCGACTTCGTAAATGGAGAAAATTCCTTGGCCAGACGAGCCGTCCATGGCAATGCGCACTTGCTGTGCCGTCACCGCGGTGGGCAGTTGGTGATAGGTAACAAAGGCAGTGTTTTCCGTGCGAGAGTCGACCGTCGTCCAGACCAGCTCGGACGAGCTGGACGCTTGGTCGGAGCGTGCCAGCAGCTGCACCGAGAAGGTCGTGGCAGGCGCTGCCCAGTAAATGCGGACAAGGCTGACACGGTGATCAAACTCGAGGTCAACCGCAACCCACTCGGCGCTGAACGTCGGCGAAACTGCGGACGCCCAGCGACGAGAGTAGTTCGTCTTGATGCCATCGACAATCATGTCACACTCGTACTGAGGTCCGTAGAAGGAGGAGCACGTTGTCGGCTTGTGATAGGCAATGTTGAGCGAGGATTCGGCGCCGTCGCACTGGCGGTTGACAAATGCCACATCGTCGAGGTAAATGTCCGGGTGGGCGTTCGTGTACGGGCCAACGAGAGAGGAAGGAGCTTCCGCCTGCAGGGAAATGCCGGCAACAAGCGAGTCGTCCGACGTTTGGAACTGGGCGAGACAAAAGCCCCAGCGACGACGCGACGCGTAATCCGGGTCGGTATAGCACCAGTCGCGATGGTTGTCAACGTTGGTGCACTGCGTGTACACGACACCCTTGTAGGTGAAGGGGAAGACGCAGGGCAGGCCGTTGGCAGTGCCACCGTACGTGACATCCGTGTAGTACGTCCACTTGGCCGTGCTCTTGATGACAGACTCGAGCACCATGGCCGTTCCGTCCTTGTTGACGGCGGTGGAATCTGACGAGTCGACCGTGATTGACACGTGCCAGTCCGAGTTGATAATCAGATCGTTGTACCAGCGGAAGCGCTGGCGCGAATCGTTCGGGTTGCACTCGGCAATCACAATCCAGATGGGAATGTTCTTGTTGGGGCCCTGAGCGTCATAGAGTGACTCGACGCCAGAGCGCGACGCGCACTTGCCCGTGCCGACGTTGAGCAGCATGGCGTACGTGGCGAGAGGATCGCCGTGCTCCCACACCCACCGTTGGTAGGTGTTGGCGTGGTCGCACTTGAACTGCTGCACGTGATCTCCAACACGATTGACTTGCTGTGCGCTGAGGCAGCGGCCAGATCCCTTGTTCTGGAGCATAAAGTACGACTCGGTCAGCAGCGCGCTGAAAGGAACGACGACCTTGGTCCAGTCGTCAGCGGTCGCGACAGCCGAGCGGTCCATGAAATCGTCCACAAACACGCCCTCGCCCAAGGCAAGACCATCGCGGCCAACCAGCCTCAGACGGAGGTCTGTGGCGTTTTCGCGGACGGCAGCGGGAGATGCGCCACGAAGGTAGAACTGGATTTCGTTGTACAAGGTCGGCGAGAAGGCGGCTGTCGGCGCCACAGGAACGGGATTGAACAGCAGACACTCGTCTTCAGGCGGGCAAAGCAGACCGCCCGTCATGGACGCTGCTTCGAGAAGGACAAAATCGTCCGTGCGTGCGCCAGGGCCAATGAGTCGGGTGCAGTCGGTAAAGATGGTCGCGTGCAAGTGGCCGTCGACATAGAGCTGGACGCTCTCGCCAAAGACATTGGCCAAGTCAGGGCCGGCGTGGAGGTGAACGAGGTCGCCGGTGCGGATGGTGTCGTTGAAGGCAATACCAGTGTCTGCGTTTTGACTGAACGAGTGGCGCATGACAATCACGCGCACTGGCGACTCGGTGCCTTCGTACTGGAACAAGAGCCGGTTGATGCCGCCCTTGCACTCGTCACAGACGTACGGGCCGAGAACACCACCGGCGCTGCTAAAGCCGTCCGTCACAACGAAATCACCGCGTTGCATGCCAATGCCAAACTTGTGCACGCAGCCAGTATCAATGACCACATGGCGTTCGCCATTCACAAAGACCATCAAGGAGCGCTCCAACGTTTCGCCGGGCAGTGCCACAAGCGCAAACTCTTCATTCTCCTTCAAGCGGCCAGAGAACACTTCGCGATTGTTCTCGTAAGGGGAAGACTGTTGGAAGATTTCAACCATGGCCGAGTTGTAGATGTCGGCGGGCGCGCTCGCGTTGCCCAGCGTTCGGCCAACGTACTTGAGGCGGAGACGGGTCACAGCACCGACGCACTCGCCACACGTACCAGCAGCAAGACAGTCGTCGCCAGCAACATCGCACAGGGGCAAACCGGCATTGTTCGTCACAGACATGACCTCAAAGGCGGTGCCTGGACGGTAGTGCGGACCGATCGCGTGCGTGCAGTCAACAACAACGTCCGCATGGCGAACGCCGTCCACAGTCAATGTCAGCAGACTGCCCAGCGTTTGCTCGTTGCGAAGCGGTGTAACAGTGAACGGCGTGCCAGGAGCCACGTTGTTCATGTTGACCAGGAGCGACTGCGAAGTTTGCTCGACCGTTCCAAAGTCCGACCGCGCTTGTGCGCCGCCAAAGACGCGAATGTCGGCATTGTTCGCACCAACATACTTAAACTGGACGCTGCGTGTGCCTGTGCAGCCCGTCCAAGTGTCGCAGTGCATGCGACACAGGGGGCCGGCATGATACGATTCGCCACCAGAGATTTCAAAAATGCCGAGGTCCAGATCAACGCCGATCGCAGTGGAGCAGGTCGTGTCAATCTTGACAATGCCAAAGTGCGCGGCATCGACCACCAGACTGGCGTTGAAGGTGGCTTTGCCGCCGCCTGGGTGAACAGAAAATTTGCCCATGTTGGTGCTGGGATCCACCATGCTGCCAAAGACTTGCTCGCCGTTGAAGGTATCATAAACGTTAATCCATGTCGGATTGGTTCCCTTAAAGCGAAGCTCCAGAGAGGACAAGCCGCCGCGGCACGGTGAGCAGGTCAGCGGGCCGATCGGGCCGCCATTGTGGAAGGCGCCGCCCACTACCTCGTACAGGCTGTCAAACACGGTGCCCACGCCGATGGCACGGGAGCAGTCCGTGTGGATGGTCGTGGTGCGACCCTCCAGGGACGAAGTGAGCACAATGCTGCCGCCAAAGGCTGCAACGTTGCCATGCACATACGTGTAAAGTAGAATTTCGCTGTTTGCGTTCACGGCGGCAAAGGGCACCGTTTGTCCCGTTTGCTGGAATTGAAGGTTGGTTGGGCCAGCACCCAAGTACTTTAGCACAAGCTTGTCGATGCCCTGGCCGACGACACACTGGCCTGTTGGGCGGGGACAGACGCGACCACCTTCCGTGGAAAAGATGGGGTCGAGCAGACGGAAGTTGCCTTGGGTGGTGCGCAAGTCCTCGGTGTAGCCCTCCAAAAGCGGCTCGGCTGCAGGAGCAATGCTGCTGGAGCTACAATCGGCGCCAAACAATCGCCAAACAACCAGGCCGGAGCCTTGCAGGGTTGCTTGAATGATGTTGCCAGCCGAGGGAGATGCCAGCACGTAGTAATCCGTGTTGAAGGCGAGCGGTACGAACGGCCCAGGCTGCTCGGCGCCAGTGTCCATGCGGAAGACCCTGAGATTGGTCTCGCCTTGGGCAAACTTGACAGTCTGCGTCGTGGGATTGGTGAATCGGAATGAGACGCGAGAAATGGCACCACCGCACGGAGAGCAAGTGTTCTCGCAGGTCTCGCCACCCGCGGTCGAGAATGCATCCACGACTTCAAAGAGAGGGTTGAGCGGCACTTGGAAGCCAGGTCCGACCTTTGCGGTGCAGGTAGTGTCCAAATTCCACTCCCGGCGCCCGCCGAACGTGTGGGTGCTAAAGTCAGCATCGTTGTTGAACAGGCACGACCCTGGTGTCGAATCGCAGCCAACCGCTGTGCAGTCACAAATCCAAATCATGGAGCCAAGGCTCTTGGCTGGGTTGTCCGTGACAATTTCAATCACCTGACCCTGGCTGACGCTCGCGCGGTAGAGGTTGTGATTGGTGCCATCCTTCAGGTACGCCTGTGCGCGTACGGCAACATCGCTGAGCGCGGCACTGCCAGTGTACCGAAGCCGCAGGTAGGAAACGCCACCCGCGCACGTGCTGCAAGCAAGAGGGCAAAGCTTGCCACCAAAGAGGGAATAGCCGCCAGTGATTTGCAAAAAGCCGACCTTCAGGCCAGGACCGACCGGCGACAGACAGTTTGTGTTGAGGGTGGCGTGGTACTTGGGCACGGTTGTACCGCCAGGACCGCTGGTCAGACCCACGTAAATCTTGACGGACGTTCCGAAAACCTGCAAGGCGCTGTCGTCAATCGCGCGGCGCGCTGTCGTCATGTCCGTCCTCAGACCAGCGCTCGCAGTGAAATTCTGGTTGGGCACGATGGTGCCGACATAGTTGAGGAAGGTCACCGAGTCGTCCATGGAGCGAATGAGCACGTTCTGCAGGCCGAATGCGTCGGGGGAGTTGATGACAAAGGAGAGTTGCGTGACGCCGCCGCTGCAAACAGCGCAATCTGCGGGCTTTTGCGCTGCGGGTTTGACGGTTCCGCCAATGCTAGTGTTGCTGGCCAAGGTGCTGTCCACAGAAGTCAGGCCCAGGTAGTAGACGGCATAGTGACTCTGGGTCGGGTCCACAGTGCTGCGGCGAGCCTGAATGGCCACGACGTCGCTCGTGGGGCTGAACTTGAGCGAGGTGGCGCCGTGGCGTGCAAACGCGGGCGAAATGGCGACTGCGCCCGTGAAAGGAAGAGAAAAGTCGCCCAAAAGGGTATCGTCAAAGACACGCTTGGGAGTGACGCCTCCATGGCCGCAGCAGGTGGAGCCAAGGTCTGAGCAGCGGCCGCACGAATCCAAAACCTTGCCAGAGTACGCCACATTGTCACAGCCGTAACAGCTGGAGCGCACGTAGCGCAGCTCGTCCAAGTACACGCGTTGGCTGTTGACGCCAGTCGCGCCGTCGGCGCCTTGATTGATGCCCTCGATCGCAAAGGTGAGGGAACGGGCGCGAGGATAGGTGACGGGCTCGTTCAGCACACGGTAGCCCAGCTTTTCGAAAGGCACAACCACGCGAGTCCAGCTGCCATTCGCGAGACGGCCATTGAGGCCGTCCGCCACGAGCATGTCGGCCAGTGGCCAGACGCCCGCAAATTTGCCGTCGACCACAGCCGTGAATTGCAGCATCTGGCCGCCGGTTGCATTGACGCCAGTGTGCACATGGAACTCGATCGCGTCATGCAACATGGGGTTGGGGAAGGCCTTGTTGCCCGAAACGGAAATGATGAGCGAGTGGTTGTACGGCACGAACGAGATGGACGAGCCGGACGCGCCCATAAAGGTTGTGGCATCAGCCATCGTCACGCCGTTGCCAGTCGCATCCGTCACGACAAAGTCAGCCGCAATAGCACCGTCTGCGTAAATGCTGGTGGGAAGGATGCTGTCGCAATGATCGGGATCGCTGCGAACGTTAAAGCCGTTCGTGCTCACGGTGCGTGTGAGGCCAGCAGCGTCCGTTGCACGGAGTCCAATGTAGTAACGCTGCTCTGACAGCGCGAGATTGCGCGCAGAAAGCGCCGTGGGGAACTCTGAGGCAAGCGTGCGAAGCTGGGACAGGCTCAAATCCGACCACGCCTTGACGTCAGTCGCGAAAGACGACGTGCCGAGCGACCACTGCAGGCGTCGAACCGCGCCGTTCGAATCCACAACATTGCCCCACGAGGCCCAGACAGCTGTCTGGTCAAACTGGAAGTCAGTGTCGCGACGCGAGTTGTCGGGCGAGATGCCAAACCCGTCCATGATGGGGCCAAAGTTGGGACGGCGCTTGTCAATAATGACGCGCTGCGAGGTGCGGGTAGAGTTGAGACCGGCGGCATTGATGCATCGGACAGACACGTAAATGTTGCTCTCGGTGGAGACGGAGAAGGGCAAATGCAACTGCGCCGCGCCGACAGAAGGCGCTTGCGCGCCGCGGAAGCGAGCATAGGGGGCAGTCATCAGTCCTCGCGTTTCCGTCACGGCGACAGAAACAGGCGCAGCCAGGAACGAGGAGGTCACCAGCGCCACCATGGGCGGCCGCAGCGAAAACCAGGGAAGAACATCATCTCGCAGCGGGTTGGTGCCCACGGCAACCTGCACGTCCACCACGGGCGTGTCGGGGTCGGAGCACGTGGCAAACTGCACATCCAATTCACCGGCAATCTGGAAGGCAGAGTCCTCGTTGGTGAGTGCGTGGAGAATGCGGACGGTCGAATCGCTGCTCACGGGCGGGCTCAGATCAATCTGAATGCCGTTCGAAGAAGCGACGGCAGACGGAACGGACGCATCGGTGCCTGCCAGAGACAGCGGCCGCCCGAACGTCGCGAGAGATTGGATTGCTCGCACATTGAACGTGATGACGAGTGCCGGCGAGCCAGAACCGATCTGGGCTCTGGTCAGCGTAGTACAAGCCGTCGTCGTGAGGCGACTCACATCTTGCCAAGCAAGAATAGAGTCGGGCAGGTGAGTAGAGTTGTCGCCAATGGCCCACTGGTAGCGATCAATAGCCAACGACGGCGCAGAGAATCCAGCAGCGCTGTTGGACAAGGGCGACTGGAAGTGCTCCCAGCTGCCGCACACGGTCAAGTGGGTCTGGAAGTCAATATCCACGAGCTCGGCGGGGCCGTCAAACACGCGACCAGGACGAACACTGGGGCTCGTCCAGTTGGAGCAGGACGGGCCAGACCAGTTGGTGTTGCAGGTGCACGTGTTGTTGCCAGTGCAGGAACCGTGACCCGAGCAGTCATCGACCTCGTCGCAGAGGAAGTGCTCGCACTGGAAGCCAGTGTAGGGCGAGTTGCAAACGCACTCGCCAAGATTGGAAGGATTGCACAAGGTGCCGCGAGCGACGCCACCACACGATGCATGGCAGTCAAACTCGCAGCGTGGGCCGTAAAAGCCATCATCGCACAAGCAGGGCGAGACGGCGGTCGAGTCCGACAGACCAGTGAGACGATGCAGCTGAGCGGAGGCTGCAGCCGTCCACGCCGTGGCATTGCAGAGCGTGCCTTGGTTGTTGCAAACACCGCGGCAAGAGTACTCGCACTGAGCGCCCGTAAAGCCGTCGGCGCAAACACAGATGCCAGGATTGCGAACGTCGCACACGGTGCCAACGCCGTTGCAGGGAGAGGTGCAGTCTACTTCGCACGCCTCGCCAGAGTATCCGGGGTCACAGACGCACGCCGTGTCACGGCACGAGCCTCGGCCGTTGCAGTCGAGTGCGCAGTACGTGGTCGCACCGCATCGCTTGCCATTCAGCACAAAGTCGGTGGCGGTGGTGACAGTGGCGCCGTTGATGCGACGGCCAATGAAGAGGTACTCGAACGAACCGGAAGTGCCAATCTCTTGGCAGTCCCGTGTGGGCGTGACGGCAACAAAAGTGCCAGACGGGGCGGACGTGTCGTGCGGGTAAATGTCGCGCACAGAGCACAAGTCACCATAGCTGACAGTGGCGCCACGGACGACGGTGAACGAGCCGAATGCCGAGCCGGGACCGATGGGGCTCTGGCAGGCGGTGGGGATGGTCACGTCGAGACGGTCATCCACAAAAACTTGCACTTCCGGGCCAATCAAGAACACGGCCTGCACCACAGAGGTGAGTGTGACAACCGACGCGGCCGTGTCCGGGTCTGACGTGACGAGCGACGCAGTATCGGGCGCACCGACGTACGAAGTCTGGTTGAATGTGAAAGTGTGGCCGGCGTGGACGTGATTGGCAAACAAGACGCGCCCAGACCGCGGATGAACGACCTTGATCTCGGCGTCGACGTCACCGTTGAAACGAAGCGTCAGCGAACGAACCAAGCCGTCGACATTGGCATCGGCATTCGGTGGCGAGCAGGGAACGCAGAAAGAGCCGTCGTCGCGAGCCGAGTCGGAGACATAGTTCTCCAGGTGCCTGTCGAGATTGACGCGATCGGCCAAGTCCGTGTAGATGAGGAACTGTCGAAGCGTGAGAGCACTTTGCGACAATGGCAGGTAGCTGCGGCGATGGGCGACATTGAGGTCGGAGGCTTGCTCAATGAACGAGTCGTTCGACAAGCGGTGCTCCAGGGTCCAATTGTACAGGGTGGCGGGGGTGTTGCGCACGGCGACAATGACGCGGCCAACAAACCGATTGCCAATCTCCTCCATGGTCACATAGGAAGCGGTGCAGCCAAACGGCGGAATGCACTGTTGGCCGTCATCGATGGTGGCGCGCGGATCAAAGTTCGAGGCAAGAGGATCAGTGCAGCCAATGGATCCCGTGCAGAACGACGCCTGGTGCACGTTGGCAGCAGCGTTGTACGCATCGTCGAGAGGGTTCATGCAGCCAAAGTTCTTGGCGACGCAGGAACCATCGTCCACGTTCGCCGTGGGCTTGAAATTGAGGGCTGCCGGTGCCGTGCAACCGAGAACGCGCTGAACGCACATGCCATTGTCACGGTTGGCCAGAATGTCAAAGTTGATGGCGCTTGGGTCGGTGCAGCCGAAAATTGGCACAATGTAGACGCACGAGCCGTCGTCTTGGTTGGCGTTTGAATTGTAGTTGAAGGCAGTGGGGTTGGTGCAACCGGGGATCGGATTGAGGTTGTAGTTGGGGTTGAGTGGACGCGGGATGCAGCAGGGCCATCCGAGCGTCGCATGACGCGGGGTGCATGCTTCAGAGGTGCCGCGGCCGGCGACTTCGGCAGTGCGGTTGTAGTTGGCAGCAGTCGGGTCGGAGCAGCCCACAATCGCCGGAATGGTGCAGGGCACAGTGTTTGAGTTGGCCAGGGGGTCGAAATTATCCGCGAGCGGGTACGTGCAGCCCGGAACAACCACGGGGACGACGCCAACATCCACGTCGGCCCAAGCAATCAGCGTGTCGACCAGCGTTGCTGGATCGAGCTGGCGGACCTGCACGGTGAGCAGATAATTGGTTGAGCGAGGAGCCAGGCCAGACACGACGAGCTTTGGCGGGAAGGTCAGGGTGCCAGCAGAGACATTGAAGCGCTGTGCCACCGTGGTGCTGTCGACGAGGACTTGCACGTACACGCCAGCAGGAGCCACCTCGGCGCTGATGGTGGCGTTGCCAACGTTAAAGACCACGTCAATAGCAACGGGTTCGAGCCGCGAGTGGTTGAAGGCGGTGCCGGGCATCGGATGGGAGATGGTGACGAACGGGGTCAGAACAGTCACTTCGACGGATTTGGAGACGCGCATCACTGTACTGTCGCGATACTCGCGAAGCTGAACAGTCACATCGTGAAGGCCAGGGAGGAGGTCGGCAAGGAAGGAGCCGGCCTTGGCCGAGAGCGTTTGCACCATGGCCTCGCGGAACGGGGAGCTGTCGACGCGGAGGTAGACATAGTTTGGCGGGACGTCAAAATAATCCACATTGTACCGCACCTGGAGCGAGTAAACGGCGCTGTTTTGCGGACGCAGCACGGCCTGCTGGGGCACGGGCGAGGAAATGGTCAGCGCAGGTTGATCCTGGCACGCGCCAGCGTTGCAAGAGCCGCCAAAGCAGGACTGGACCGAGTAGTAATCGCCGCTGGTGACCAGCACTGAGCAAGGATGGGTGCCCGCGCCGTTGCAAGTGCCAGAGTAGGTGATTGCGTACGGCGTGTTGCGGAACTGGGTGCCAGCAGGAACGTTGACCCACGAAAAGTATGGATCGGAGGTGTTGTACCACTGCACGCAGCGCTGCGTCAGGTTCATGACCTGCTGCTCGGCCTGCACGAGCCAGCCAGCCATTTCGTTGTTGGCGTCGGACGTGAACGTGAGAAGCAGGGCATTGGAGGACGATCGGACGTACACGCTCGAGTTGAAATGGCCATCAGAGCCCACGACGCCCACCAACGAGCTCACGAGACTCGTGTCACTACCAACGGGATGGGCGTCGCAGCCAGACACGCAGCCGAGCGAGCGCGCTTGAGTCGAGTTGCCGTCGTACAAGCAAACGCGGTCCTTCCAAGCGTGCCCAAGGCGCTCGGTGCAAAACGACGAGAATTGCAGCGTGATGATCGAATTGGCATCCGACACCATGAGATACCGCCCAGTGAGCGAGCCCGGGTAGTCGGCGCTGCCAAAGCCGTCGTCAAAAATCTTGGTGTCGGTGCTGGGGCCTGCTGTGAGCTCGTAGCGGAAATCCACCAGCGTCGGGGTTGGCGGGGTGAAGGACACCAAGGCGCTGACGCGGCAGGTGGACGTGGCCAACTTGAGCGGGGGCACATAGACGGAAACAAACCACGTGCCATAGTCGGCAGGCGGTGCCCACCAGTACGTGCTGCGACCGAGCGTGACAGTTTGCGTGGACACTGCGCCATAGTAGAAGGCAGCAAGCTGACGAGAGTAGTACTTGGAGGAGGTGGAGACCACACCAGCACGAAGGTAAATGTCGGGATTGCAACCGTCTGCCAGCGATGTCTGCGAGCCGCGCGTGAGCGCGACCGTCATGTTGGCACCGGCAGTCCACTCGATTTGGCAGTGCTGCCAGCCACCCTCGGAGCCGAGCGCCATGACGGAGGGGACGCCGTTGACCAGGGTGCACATGGTCACGTTGGTCAAAGCGTCAAGCGGGGCTTCAAAGTAGCCGTACACCTGGACTTCGCTGAGATGCAGGTACGTCTGGCGGCCAGGTGCCGAGATGACAATGTGGTCGACGTTGTTCAGCGGAATGGCGCCAGTCGGCATCCAGTTGTACGTGGCTTGGACGGAAGCAAACGTTTGTGATGCCAGGGTGGAACCGTCCGCAGTGAGAGCAGTCACGGTGAAGGGCACAAGACGCTGCTGGCACGCACGAACAGTGCAGCCAGTGCAGCAGCTGTTGTCCAGAATGTTGAAAATGACGACAGACTTGACGGTGGCGGGCGAATCGAGATCGAGTCGCCACCACGCGTTCGTGTCCAGCGCCGTGTACGTGTAAGAGGACGCAGAGGTGAAGCCGTCGACGGCCTGGGACGCTCCGCGGCCTTGGATGACGGACGACTGCGAAACGGGCTGGCCGACGGCAATGTTTCCGCTCTGGTCCTGCCAGTTCACTCGGAAGGGCTGGCAGGCAGACTCCATGAGCGTCACATCAAAGTTGGCAAAGTAATCCAGGACGCCCGAATCTGGTTTGGGGCGTTCCAGTAGCAAGTGTATCGAGCATTGTTTGCCGCGACGCAGCACTCGTGCTGGTCCGCCGGCGTGCCGTAGGCAATGCGTCTGTGTGTGTGTGAAGGGTGGTTATTTTTGTGGAGGGGTTGAGAGGGGGTACGAGTGTGCAGCGAACACAAGGAAAGCAAGGAAAGAATTCGGCAAACGCCCGATGCCACCGACGCATTGCGTTGGACAGGTCAGCGCAGAAAGACCAAGAAGCAAGGACTTACTGCAGTCTGTGCAGAGCGTGTTGACTGCGGCGTTGGCTGGTGAGGCAGCAAAGATCAGCGCCAGCACCAGCAGCAGCAGCAGCAGACGCATGGACAATCCAGCAGCCAGCGCTCGCGACCGAGTGTGCCACTGCGCAGCGAGGGGCATTCTGTGCGCAGTCCGACTCTGTGTGGAGGAAGGCGGGGGAGGTGGGGGAAAAAAAATGCTGAGTGTACCAAGAAGAAAGAAGATCAAAAAGGAGAGATGCTAGCCTGTCAATTAAAAAATAGTGAGCAAGTGAGTATGCGTTAATATTCATCTAAAAACGACGAGCTGCTACGAAACCGATTCACTCGACCAACGCTTTTTGTTGTTTTTTTTCCACCAATTAATGAAAAAATTCAATGATTTTTTTTTTTTTTTTTTTTTTTTAGTTTTTCAATGTTGCTTTTTTGGCTTTTTTGCTCTTCTTTGAGTTGTCCTTCGTTCTGTGACTCAAACACGCTCAGCGGACTTTCACAGCGTTGAGCATGTTGAAGGAGAGCAGCAGAGAAATGGGGTGGAGTGGAGTGGAGGGGATCACCTTTTTGGCGCTTGATTTGCCTCCATTCTCATACCGCAGCTGCAGCTCCACACAAACACACACGAGCGTTGGTCATCCCCACACGCATTGGTCACTCAGAAACAAACGCGCTGTTGCAATGTGAGAGGGTCAAGCTTGGTGTTTGAGCCGAGGGAGCGGTGTTTGGGTGAACGACGCCAATAGGGGGGAAAGGGCGAAATGGGAACAGAGTGGGGTGGCGGGCCGACTCTCTCTCTCTCTCTCCCTCTCTCTCTCTCTCTCTCTCTCTCTCACGCACAGCCACACACTCTCTGTATGTGTGTGTCTTTCTCTCTCGCTCGCTCGCTCTTTGAGCAAAGTCATTGTGGAACGAACGACCGATAAAAACGGAGAGCCAGCGAAAATGCATTGCAGCGAGAAAAAAAAAAAAAAAAAAAAAAAAAAACTCACCAAAAGAAAGAAAAAAGAAAAAAAAAAAAGAATAGAATCGAGTTGGATTTGTAAATCGATGGTTGAAAAAGCAACAACGCTCGGCGGGAAGCGAAGCGGGAAAAGAAAAAGTCATGCATTCAGAGAAATAGGAATAAATTGGGGCGGCGGGGATTAGGGCGGCGAGAGGAGTGAAAGTCCCATTGCAAATCTGGACTTCTTGCTGTCTCAGACCACGATGCGATGGAGGCAACACAAGGCGCATAAGGCTGTTGCTTGGTCTGAAGTGACAAAACACTTCGTGGAACACTCTCGGACACTGTGCAGCCGCTAAAGAACGAGAATCGAAATCAAAATTCAACGACAACGAAAAACATCAACAAAACACCTGTGCAAAGCACAAAGTACCAAGCATCCTGCCAAAAGCCACATAAAAATCAAAACAACAACACCTCTCGCTATCAACAATCCATGGAAGACTCGCGCAGTGAGCTTCAACGACAGCTTTTTTTTTTCTTTGTTTTTTTTTTTTTCTTTTTTTCGTTTTTACTTCTTGCCCTTGGCGGCATTCGCTGCAATACCAGCAGCTGACGCTCTGGCAAGAATCTCCTTGGTGTTCTGCCAAACAAAGTCACGGGCTTCGTCGTGCTGAGGAGTCCGCTTGGCGGGCTTGCCGTTCGGGTTGACGAGGTGGAAGCCGCCCTTGAGCTCTGGCGCGATGAGCGCGGCACCAATCAGCTGGGCGCACTTTTCTGGGCTCTTGGCAAACAGTTGAATCGCTCGGACAACTCCGCGCAAAATTGGGTTGAGCTCGGTGCCCCAGGCGGTCGAGACAAAGCCCGGCGCAGCATGCGCGAACGTCACCGTCGGGTGTTCGCGCGACAACGCGTCCAACGCAAGGTCGTTGTAAAATCCAGCAGCGTTGGCAGCGTGCTGGAGCGAGTACTCGCGGACTTCCGGATCGGTGCGGTAATTGGCATACGCCGAGTGCACGCCCGCCGAGAACACCGAGAGGACACGCACGTCGGCGTTTGGCTGCTTGGCGGTGCCCTCGAGCAGCGGCAACAGACCCTGGATGGCAGCAACGCGGCCATAGTAGTGAATGGCCAGCTTCTGGTCGATGCCCTCGTCGGTCTCGGTTCGCCCTTGCATGGTCGCAATGCCCGCAGTGAGCACCAGGTAGTCGAGTCGGTCGTGCGTTCTGAGGTACTCTGCGCAGAACTTGCCCACGTCCGCAATGGACTGTGCATTGATTGGAGCAAACGCGTACGTCGGAGCACTCGAGCCAGCCGAGGTCGTTGCAGCCCCAGCGCCGGCAGTCGTGCTGGACGAGTGAGATTGCTGCATCTGCTCGACAACCTCGCGACCCCGCTCGGCGCTCCGCCCGGCAACCGTCACCGAGGCGCCCTGCTGTGCCAGCCACTCGGCCATGCCACGGCCAATGCCATTCGTGCCGCCAATGACGAGCGCGGACTTTCCTGCAAGTGCGGAATTTTGCATTGTGAAGGTGCGGAAATAAGAATTCAGAAGAACAAAATTGGGAGCTGGATTTCGAAACAAGAAACTGAGAAAACGTATAGAAGAAGAGTGAGGTTTTTGGACTTGGGATGGAATACATGCAAAACAGCAAATATCGCCAAAAACCCCAAAACGAAAAGAAACGAAAAGAAATAATCACAGACAAAGGGGCGATTCTGAGCAGCGCAATTGGGCTCGCTCAGCTCCCGAGTACATGAGACAAACCTTCTCTAGTGCATCTGTTCTTCAGTAATGATGCGGGCGATGTTGCGGTCAGGTCGTAACACGCTCGGTGCAATCAATGGATGGAGTAAAACCTGACAAGGCTGTAGTACAATGACCGATCGAGATGGATTTGCTGGGAAGCAACACCACAAATATCAACACTCGTCACAAACACAAAGCGCAATAAAACAAAGCGAACAGCAGAAAAACAGCACATGCATTTAAGCGCTGAAAAACCTGCCAGATTCAAAAGCAAGCGTGTTGAGTGGTCAGTCACTACAATACCACCATCCACTGCAAACAAACGACTCAACATTGCTCATTGCCAGAGCAAGGAAACAATCACGTACACGAGCATCAAGAAGATGACCACTAGATTCCACACGCCAATAAAGATTCGCAAGTAGCGAAGATTGAGCAAAAATTCGCGGAAACGTTCAGCTGGTCCAGCCACCAATCAACAAGTGAGTACTCTTTGTGCATGCTCTCTTGAATTGTTGTTCAACGACGCTCGTTGGTACCAAGCGAGATTCGCTCTCTTGTCGCTCAAATTCTTGAAACATCCTCTCACCTAACGATTCCTTGTTGGCGTTCTGATCAACTTGCTCGAATGAATCAATGTCGGGCTGCTTTTTCGTTCTGTTCGCCATCCAATCAAAATCCAACATTGGTTGCACTCGAGTGAGGCTTTGAGGAACCAACCATCATGTTAAGCACAAAGCCCTGAGCACAGAGGTGAAGTGACCTCCACACTTCCCCGTTGTCCTCGCTCCACGGAATCACTCTTCATCAACGAAGCAGACTCTCAGAAGGCTTTACAGCTTAAAGTTCAAGATGGCGCCTGCGTTGGCAATGAGTGTCCTGTTCAGCAAGTGAGTCAGCGAAGGTGAGCTAGCACAATGACCTCTCTCTCTCTCTCGCGCTTGCTCGCTCGCTCACTCTCGCCACCCAAATCCATTGGTAACTCTTACGCGCTCAGAATGATATCTGCAATCATCGTCCACGCGTGGTCGTCTCAGGTCGGTGGTTTGCGCGCGTCGTTTCGTTTTGCAGTCAACGCAAAGAGAAAGACTGCTCGATTCCGCCTGTATGACGCGACGAACGAGGTCGAGTTGAATCTTTCTGTTTGTATGAATGGTGTTTTTGGGTTGATGTTTCGGCACGGGTCGATGTTGTTGTTGCTGAAATTGTGTGGTAAAAAGTGGTTTCGTTACGTTCGGACAGAGAAGACAAAAACGCGCAATGTTAAAGTCGCCTTCCACTCCACGGGCCTTGGCGGCCGATTTCAAATCGCTGAAGGATGGGACTGCATTGGAGAGTGTCCGAGGTCTCGATTTCCCGCGTTTTACCGCTTGTACGGGGACGTTTTGCTCGTGATGCGTCTCGGCAGTCGCGCGCCAAAACCCACTTGGCCGCCCGTCTTTGGTTCCTGGGCAGCAGCCTCCCTTTCCCCGTGCTTCCGGTCCGGATTCGTCAGTAGCCCTGTCGTAAAGACGCGATGATGATGTGTTGGAATCATGACAGACGCACTCGGAGTCGCTCTGCTGGTGCTGCAGCGTTCAGAAAGTCTGGATTCAAGAAAGCAAGTAGAAGCTGGTTGTGGAGGCGAACGCAGGTCGGCCTTTTCAACTTGTCTGTTCGCGCACCCACGATTCACCTTGCTCGTCTCATGCAATGTGGAGATTGAACCTTTGTGCAGGACGCTGGGAGGCGTTGGAATCGACGAAGTGGTTCAAACCCCCGCCAAAACGCCGCCAAATGCCGCCAACGCCGCCGCATGCCGCCAACGTCGCCGCCACCTCCAGTGCAGTGCAGCTCCGCATCCGTTGCTGCCCAGTCATTCCCGAACCCCTGGAAGAGGCTGCAGCATGCCTGTCACGCGGTTCTGGCTACATCTCGCCTGACTTGCTGTGTTTGCTTGATCAAACAAGTTTCCAAAACGATTTTCATGGGGGGGGGGGGTCGGACTAGATTTGAAGTACTAGCTTTTCAATATTTTCTGTGAAGATGTGGATATCGCGCCATTTGGTGATGAAACGTCCAGACAGGGAATTTCCCGTGCTTCTTGTATGCCGTCACTCAGGTCTTGTTTGGGAAATACTGTAGACGCTTGGAGATTGGATTGATGTTCATCCTCAGTGTTATATGGATTAGATTTAGGGGAGAGAAAGAGCCAGATTGGATGAGAATTCAGTTTTCCAACATGGTGAATAATTCGGGTGCCTTTTGTGCGCTTTTTCGCTCGAAACTCTAGCTCGACTTGCACAACAAACCCAACAATCTTTGATCGGAAGGTCCTAAATCAGTGCAAAGTCTGTGAAATATGAATAAGAATAATAATAATCATTATAATAATTACAAAATAACAGTTTCTAATTCGCCCAGTCTTCTTTTTTTTTTTTCTTTGTTTTCTTTTTTTTTTTTTCCTTTTTTTTTTTAACTACTTTTCCCAATTCAAGTGTCACTGCACAACTGCTCCACGACCCACGATTAGCAGGTTTGTCAATTACAACCACCGCACAAACGGTGAGGCGCAGGAAGCTCTTGGAGAGGGTGGAGGAAGCGTCGGAACTGAAAAAAAAAAAATGAGGAGTGGTCTTTTCGTTTTGGAAGGCAAAAAATGGCACTAATTCCGATTATTCGGCAGTTTGACATGGCAACTTTGGAAGAAATCAAAGCTCTCTTCGAGGAGCAGAAGACAAACTTGACCCAGCAGATCGAGAGCCTCAGGACTGATGTCAGCAAGAAGCTCGATGATGTCGACGCCAAAACCAGCTTTATGGTCGAAGCCCGCATGCGTGCCTCGCTAGCCAAGAGGTTTGGCGAAGATTACGCCTGCCAGCAATTTGTCGAGCCTCGTTGCGGAACAATCACCGCACGATGGGAGTGACGTTCCGCTGCAAACCGCAAGCACCAAGGATATCGACGGAAGAAGTTGCCAAACCCGCCACGAGCTGGCCATGTTTCAACAAAGTGTGAAACTATGAAGGCACAGGACTGGGCTATGCACACGCAAACTGCGACAGTGCTTGAGCGGCAATTTTGTTGTTCTTTGACACGCGATGTTGTAGCCTGTTGAATACATCTAGCATAAATTTCGACCGAATTCCTCACCATTTCACACGATTGTATGATGCCAGAAGTCACACGTAACATTCTGTATGCTGGATTCGCGCTCAGTCGCTGTTTCACTCCCTTGTGTGGGAACTCTGAACATCTCAGACATCCGCTCCATTTTCTGAGATTTCCCTTGTTTTAATCGCTGTTGTTGTTGTTCATAGTGTCGTTTCGCAAAGGGAGGACTGAGATGCGGTTGACTGAGCAGCGCACCTTCGCTGGCTGGCCGAGACTGACAATTGCTGGATTCGCATTGGCGTCAATGCTGCTGGTGCTGCTGTCGTTGTCGATTGCCGTGGCGCGTGCAGCACCCCGCGGAGGGCGACTGGCTGCCGACACGTTTGACGAAGAGCTTGTGCTGCATGACTTGACCGCGCAAGAGTCGTCTGGTCAGCGCGCTGTCGCAGCCAAATTTCACTTCACTCTGACGCACAACCACTTTGCAAACGAGGACGATGATGCCAGCCAAGCAGGAGCCAAACTCAACCAAATGCGCTACGAGAGTGATACTGCGACGAGTACATCTACCCAGCGGTCGAGCCAAGGAGAAGCCGCCTCGAGCGATGCATTGCTGCCAAGCCGCTCCTCAGATTCAGAGGCAGAGAGCGCCGAGCTGGTCGATGATTACTCTGCGTTTCCGCGTGTCGTTGGGCAGATTGCTCATACGCTGGGAGTCCAATCCCTGAGACTTGGATTTACCCAGGGGCGCTGGCAGTTTGACAACTGGGGACTGGAGGCCAATCACTCGCCACTGTTTGCTCCCAGCGCAGAGCTCCAAGCCAGCTTTTATGTCTCAGCCAACCTTTCTACCCCTCAGCAGGACAGGTAAAGCATGGATTGGGGAACAGATTGCCGCCTCTGCGCGTCCGCATCGCTTTGAAACCCCGCTCAACGCTGTCTTTGGCTTGCTGCTTGTGAAATTTGGTTTGAAATCCGCCGCTCTGTTTTCACGTAGCATCGTCAACCAGCGATGGGCCTACCTCAGAAACGCACTTGCAGGACTGCTTTGTGCATCGCTCAACTCTATCGATGAGTCAATCACACACACACCCGCTGTCCTCTCGCACGCGTCAACAAAGTTCGGTCAAGACATTCGGACGCTGCGTGGTGTGTTGTCGCATGAGACAGTGTGCACGGAGAATTTGACACCATGGCGAAAACTGCTTCCCTGTCGCTCACAGGTATGATGCCAGGACGTGTTCTCTTTTTTGCTTGTCGAGCTTTGTTCACGTTTGTTTGTTTTTAAATTTTGTTGTTGTTTTCACTTTTGTTTTTTGTTGCTTTGTGTGCGTGTGCGTGTGTGTGCCAGGCTAGTCTCGCATCCTTGATTAGCGGTATTCCGGTTGTCGACACGCTATACACTTCCATAAGCGTTGAACTGTCCACGGCTTGCTTGGTTTGTCGACGGGATGGGCTTTCCCTTGTTTTTGATGGGTTGTGTTCGTTTTTCGGGTCGGTCATTGGCTCATTTGCTTCCGATGGTTGATTTGTTGTAGAATACTGCGTGCACTCAGCGTCGACTCACGCTCGAGCAAACGCTTCTAGCTGTCATTGATCCAAGCCGGTCCAAATTGTTTGCTCTGTCCAACGCGAGTAACATTCGCGCTTGTCCTGCTGCCAGATCTTCGATTGTGTCCTCTACTTTCAACGTGTCTGGAGCGAGTTTCCTTGCCAAAGCCTTCCAAGAACGCATCGTGGTCAATGCGAACGCATGGGGTAGGTATTTGTGAAAATCAGGTCGATTCATTCCAGAGCTTTTTGTCTTCTTTTGGTTTTGTTAAACACTAAATAATGCCTGCTTGTCCATAGTCTCGCTTCCCGTCCCCATCCGCACTCAGCGCTTTCTCCGTGGGTCGGTGAACAGCCCGGGTCACTTGGTCACGCAGCTGAGCAATCTCGATTCTGCACCACTTTCAGTCTTGTACCAAGACGTTGTGCCCTGGTTTTTGCCGCTGTACTCGTATGGCTTGGAGGTAACGACCTACAGTGTCAACGGGATGGCAAATTTGACAGGTAAGGTCGCATTCCGCGGGTGAGTGGCTTGTTTGAGAATCCATCAACAAACTCGAACCGACTCGCGCTTGTGTCATCCAGCTCTGGTTCAAAAGTCAATTCGCCCAAGCAAACTACGCGGCCGACCCACGGTGATTGAGCTGAGCTTGGTGTTGCCCGCCAACTCGACTACCATCATTTCCGTTCCGTGCGACCGCGCATTTTTGCACTTTACCGAGTACCCAGCCGATGCCAGTCGTGGGTTTGATATTGGGTAAGCCGCTGCCGAAAAATGAGACTGCCATTGGATTTTATATGACAGCTGAGATGGCGACGACTCACCAACTTGCAACGCTAAGACCGGCGACCATCTTCTTCCGAGCGGCATCCAGCTCTGCGCCCATTCGACAAATGCACACAAATGCGCTGCTGGTGAGCCTACCCATCCCAGACTTTAGCATGCCGTACAATGTGGTGTGCATGACGAGCACGGTGATTGCGCTGGCGTTCAGCTCCATCTTCAATGCAACCACCCGCCAAATGGGGCTCAAGTCTCCAAAAGTCAAAAAGGGTGCTGCAGCCACGCCCAGCCTTGGCAAGGCGGCTCCCGAACCTCCAGAAGCCTCTCAAACTGGATGAATACAGGAACAGTCAGACCAACGATGACCTTAAAGACCGAAAATAAAAAATACAAAAAAAAAAAACCCTCTGTCGGAAATTCAAAAACAAAAAGCGGATGTATTGATCTAAGATCGGGGTGGCTGCCGCCGTACGAGCGTGTTCAGCAGCATGAAACTAGCAAACAGCAAGTACAGCCATCGAAACCACACGAGTTGCGAGCGGTGCTGCAGCATGGCACGCCAGGTTGTTCGGATTTGTCTGGGTGTGGAGAGCGCCATTGCCAGCCCACCATTGGAGCGGGCTGCCGCTGACGGCGATGCTGCGGATCTGGAGGTGGTTTCATCATACACTTCCCACCACGACAATGCCAGGTCGATGGGAATCATGTACTTGCGCCAGAGTGGCTTTGACTGAAGCGACCAGAGCGTCAAGCAGCCTGCTGCAGTGCCAACTTGCTCCTCGCGGTCCAGACATACACAGGCGCCGTGCCACACTGCAATGTGGTTGGCGTGTCCAGAGACGCCGTGTGCGTCGAACGTGAGCAGCGTGTCAATCTTCCAGCGAGCGACGTGCTCTGTGATGCAGTCCGCGACATGACTCGCTCGCCACAGGTTGGCTTGTCCATCTGCAAACGCGTCTTCGCGATCTACAACCGAAACGTGCGACGCGGGCAGTCCCAAGGCCGTGCATGCGCCGACCAGTTCGCGCGCGCGGACGGAGCCGAGACCGTCGGCGTTTCCCGTGGAGAGGCACAGGACGAACATCTCAGACTTGGCCAGCAAGCACGTGACACCAGGCCCAAAGAACATGCACTCGTCGTCGGGATGTGCGGTGATGAGCAGAGTTCGTTTCCCATCAAACCGAGTCCCAAGCCATGGCATTGGCGCGGAAAACAAAAACAAAAAACACTGGACTGCTACGAGATTTTGGGGACTGCGAAGCGTGCTTGATAGGAATTGAGCAAGAAACGCGTTTCATTAATGCGTGTATGAAAGTTTTTTTTTTTGTTTGTTTGTTTTTTTTGTTTGTTTTTGTTTTTTTGTTTTGTTTGTTTGTTTTTTTTAATGCCGAACGTGTATTTGTGAATCAGAGGGGCTTGCCAGTCTAAACAACAAACCAACAAAAAAATTACCGCCGAATCGCATCGCGAGCTTGGATCAGACGTCGGACGGCTGCCTCGTCAATCGGTGCACTCAAGAGGCCGTTGACTCGGAAAGTGGTGCCAACAATCAGCGTGTGCGCGTGGCTGTACCCGGCAATGTTTTCAGAGGTCACGCCAGACCCAACGAGCACAGGAAGAAGCTCCGTGGCCTGAGCGCCGAGAGTCGTGGTGGAAAAGCGACGGACAGCATCTGCGACGCGAGCCGGCTCGGTTGCGTGGCCAGTGGTCTTGCCAGAGAGAATGACGCCGTCAATGTTGAAAAACCGAGCCGCTTCGACCGTGTCTGCGTCACTCAAGTCTGCCGTGATTGCATGGGAGGAGTGCTTCTTTTTTATATCAGTCAGGACTTGAATGTCCGAGGCCCCCAGCATCTTGCGAGCACGGAGGAGCTCGGGTGCCGAGGCATCAATGTATCCTTCGTCGGCAACCGAGCCAAAGACAAACCCTTCGGCGCGAATAAACTGGCAGTCTGTCGCAAGCGCAACCGCCAGAGCCTCCTTGTTTGCGGCTGCCAGTACCTGAATGCCGATCGGCAATGGTCGTGCAGCCGTTCGCTTGTACGAAGCATCGCCCTTGATCGCGGCGACAACGGCAGTCATTCCAGCAACAATTTCGGGTCCCAGTGGGTGCCGAGATGCGTTCACATACGGCACATCATTTGCGTTCTGTCAGACCAACAAGACAAAAAAGCACACCACAGGAAATCCGACATGAATCAAGGTAAGTTGTTGTTGTTGTTGTTGTTGTTGTTATTGTTTTGCTGCTGAGCAACTCGGGCGACCAATCTCAACATGCAAGTACCTCGACCAGCAATCCGTCGACGCCGCCTGCAATCAGGGCGCGTGCATCTGTGACGCATCGCTCGATAATGGTCTTCATGGGCATGGCGGAGGCCGGCGTGCCTGGAAACGCGGGCACATGGACCATGCCGATAATCCGTGGCAGCAGCTGGCTCGAAGCGCCCGTCGCACCGACCGACTCGGCCATGCCGAAGAGAGACAGCCACCGTTGAAGCTTGCTCATGTTGGAGTCGGAGGGGTGGCTGGCTGGCTGGGTGGGTTTGGGTTGGAACGGATGACGATCGAGAACTGCGACCCCTTTTTGGCCGGTTTTCACACACAAACAACGGAGAGAGTGAGCTCAATACAATCTCAAAGTGAGTTGTTCTGGAACGCTGGCTCAAACTGTTCATCACTCGTTGTTGGACTGCCTTCTTGAGGGCTCAGCGACGGCTTTGGCGTTTGTTTGTTGCACGATTCAGGCTCCAGGCACTGTACTTTCTCGCCGTCGACCAAACACCGGTTCACTCGACGCTGGTATTACCAGTGCATATCATCGCCCAACCATGCTAAAAGCTGAGATTGTCAAAGTCTTTCGTCTTGCAAAAAACAAGAATACAAAATAATACAAATAAAATTGAATTTCAGTCTTTTTTTCTTTTTTTTCCAATTGCCTTTTGGTTGGTTTTGCATTGTGCATTTTTGACGCTTCGCTTTTCGCCCATTTCCCTCATGTTTCCCCCATGCGTTGGGTAGACTTTGCTACCTCCGCCCCTTGCTTTTCCCCCTCTTTTCCCCCTTCTTAGCCCCTTCAGTTCTCGCTGTGCAGACACAATCCTCCGTTTTAAAAAAAAAAAAAAAAAAAAAAAAAACGTTCTGAATTTTGAAAAAAAAAAAAAAAGGAAGCGATGCTACAATGGATGGACGCATTGAGTGTACGTGTGACTGGGACAAGTGCTGCTTCGTGTCAAAAGCCCCCACCCCACCCCATCGCACCCCTGAGGACCTGGTGAGACTTGAGGCGGTCGTCGCAAGGGGAAAGGGGAGGTAGATGTTCATTCCAACTCACTCGGTGGGTCGGACGGTCCCGTTCTCCCCCCCCCGTTTGCTCCCGCTGCAGCACTGATGAGGACGCGTTGATCAGTGACTGGGTCGCAGGAGGACTCTTTGAGAGTGACTTCGGCCGAGCACAAGCTGGAAAAAGTCGGACGTTTTCCTCCTCTTTTTTTTTTTCATTTTTTTTTTTTTTTTTTTTTTTTTGCCAGTCAAAAACCAAAACAGCAGCCTTTTTTTTTTTTTTTTTTTTTTTTGGGATTTGGATTTGGTTTGATTCTGTTCTGACTTGCTGTTCCCAATGCGAGCAGCCGGTTTGGCAAGAGTTTTGGACGTGTAGCGATCACGAGTGTCTGTGTCACTGTGTGCTTGTTTTTTGGATTGAAGGATTTGTGTGTGTTTACGTCTCACAAACTTTGTTGGAGCTCATGCCACCCACTCCCAAAAACACACTCCAACGCACTCGAACGCAGCTCACCTTGTTTGTCATGACATGTCTAGGTACAATATCCTTTTGACGGGCTTTATTTTTCCGCCCTCTCTTTCTGAAGCGCGCTTGCAATCTCTCCGTCTACAAACAATCATGCGCCCAGCGTCAACGTCCCTGGTGGAGGACGACTTTGTGCGCGAGGTGAATTCCGACTTGGATACGCCCAACTCGGCGACCTTTTACAACGCGCTGCCCGTCTTGCGCGGGTCGTTCCAGCCGCTCGAAAAGCGCGTCGAAAAGGAGCGGCACGACCTCAAGAAGGTCGCCAAGGTCGTCAAGTCGATTCTCCAGTCGGCCCCGCAGCATGTGCAGCTGGAAACAACGTTTGCAGAGTGCCTGAATGAGTTTGGCGACTTGGAAATGGCGCGCGACGACGAGACAGCATCGCATGTCGGCATGTCCTTCCTCAAGTTCTCGGTCGTTGCGAAAGAGCTCGTCCACCTTGAGGCGGACCTGCACAAAAAGATGAACAACATTCTGCTCTTCCCGCTCGATGCCATGCTCAAGGCAGAATCGCCTGCCGACCTCAAAAAGCAGTACGAGCGACAGCTTGCCGTGTACGAGTCGCTCAAGGCCAAGAGCGAGAAGAAGAACTTCAAGGACGAGGCTGAACGTGTGGATGCCGAGCAGGACGCCGATCGAGGCAAGCGCATGCTCCAAATCCAGACGTGCGACTATCTGATCAAGATGAAGGAGCTCAAGGCCAAGAAGGACATTGAGTTTGTTCGCCACCTCACCGAATACTACCATGCTCAGTTCTCCTACTTTGAACAAGCCAAGCAAACCCTTGAGAATATTCATTCGTTCGTCGAGACGATCAGCGGTGCAGCGCAAGAGGTACAAGTTGGAGGTGTTTTATTAATCGGCTGAGCTTTGCGTGCGAGCGTGCTGGGGCTCACCGTGTTTTGCTCCCCCCTCCTTTGTTTTTGAATGTAGTGGAAGAGCCAGCACGAAGAAGAAAAGAAGGTTCTTGTAACTCTTCGGGACAACATTCGCAACACGCTGCCCGCTGACAAGGTGAGGTTTTTCTTGTTCGGGAATTGTTTGCGGCTCGAGGAAGGCGAGGAACGGTTTGAGCTGACTCTTTTCACTCTTCCTCTTTTTTTTTTCTTTTTTTTGCGTTTCTGGACAGGTTGGCGGAACTCCTAGCGGCACCGTGCTGCTGGCTGCACCCAAATCTGACAAGACCAAAGGAACGGAACGAAGCGGCTATCTGCAAAAGCGCAGCGAAAATGTCGTCAAAGCGTGGCAAAAGCGCTGGTGTGTTGTGCGAAACGGCACTCTGTCACTTTCTCATTCACCTGTACGTGCACTCTGCTTCTCGGTGGTCTGTTTTTTTTGTGGCATTGCTTTTTTTTTTTTTTTTTTTTTTTTTTTTTTTTTTTTTGGGGCTCCATCTTTGCTGAGTGTGTCACTTGCTCTCGTCATGCATGCTCATGCATGCTCATGCATCGTCCAGGAAACCGAACCCACTGTCAACCTCAATCTCATGACTGCCTCGATTCGCGAAAATCCTCCTGCAAGCGATGTTGGCGACCGTCGATTCTGCTTCTATCTCATCACTCAGGGCCGCACCTATGTCTTCCAAGCTGAAAGCGAGTCGGGCATGTCGGCGTGGATTGCTGTCATTCGAAACTCGATTGAGGAGCAGTTTGAGCACACTATTTCAGGACCAGCTGCGGACGATACAGTAAGGAGCGGTTTTGTGGTGTGAGAGTGGGACGACCAAAGTCTTACGAAATGACTGTCGTCGTGCTGTCAGCCTCTGGGTCCGCATGCGGCCGCTTGCGCTCAACAAGCCAAGGACAAATTGGTGGAATGGATTGCTGATATTCGCGCCCTTCCTGGAAACAACCGCTGTGTGGACTGCGATGCGGCCGGTATGTATTTGGTGTCGCCGCTCGCCATGGAATTTGGAGAGGAGCGGCAAGGCTTTTTGTTACATCTAATTTTATGTTATTTCGCTTCAATCGCGACCACCGCAATGCAACAGATCCAGAGTGGGCATCCCTCAACCTTGGTATCATGATGTGCATTGACTGCTCTGGAGTGCACCGCGAGCTTGGTGTGCACATTTCCAAAGTCAGGTCCTTTGTTCTGGATAACATCAACCCATCCGAGCTGCTGATTCTCAAGTCGCTCGGAAACACGGCAGTCAACGTCATCTACGAGAGTGCCCTCAGCGCGACCAAGCCCAGCCCGCAGTCCTCCATGGATGACCGCAAGACTTTCATCTATGCCAAGTATCGTGACCGCGCCTATGTTCGGGCTGTCTATCCTCCCGACTCCGAGCTCACAGTACGGCGTGAAACCTTAACGTACAGACACTCGCATTCGAACGTTGTTTTCTCACCACCACCCCTTCCCCTTGCAAACTCTCTCCCTTTGCCTCTTTCACACACACACACACACACACACACACACACACACACACACACACACACAGGAACTGTTCGCTGCCATCCATGACCGTCGCGTGAACACTATTTTGCAGCTCAAGGCCCAAGGAATGGACTTCAACCAGTCCATCACACAAGACGGCATCGAGACGTATGCCGTGCATCGCGCAGTTGCCGAAGATTCCGTGCTTGCGCTCGATTTCATGGCACACAACATGGCTCGCATTGACTTGGTCGATCGCCAGGGCTATACGCCGCTAACCCTTGCTGCGTATTACGACCACATTAACTGCGCTCGCGTGCTGCTGCGAAGTGGCGCCATGTCCGAGTGCAAGACTGCCGAGTCGTGCGTTCCTCTGCAGGTCGCGCGCACCAATTACAGCGAGGAGACAGCGCGCCTGCTCGACATGGCCATTGAGGATGGCTTGCTAGACTGGTACACGGTGCCCACCATCGAGTTCCCCACGCCGGCTGTGGCTTCGCGAGCCAGCACGACCAGTCGCAACCAAGCTCCAGGACGACCCCAGACAGCACCTGCAGCAGCTGCGGCAACGCCAGCGGCGACCACGCCGCCCAACCCCAACGCTGCTGGTCGGCCAGTGCCGGTTCCGCGCGGTGCAAGCAAGGCCGCCGTCGCTGATTCTGTTGACACGGCAACCTTGATTGCACTCGCCACGGGCGATGATGCCGATTCGGTCAAGCCTACACCACGGCCACGCACCATTGCCCAAAAGCCTGGAGAGTCATTCACCCCGCAGGCGACGACGGGAAGTCCAGTACCGGCGGCCCGAGCACCCGCGGCCTCGGCGGCGGCAGTGTCGGCATCTCCTGTTCCTGCAGCCCGCGCCAGCCGACAGCGTGCCATCGCACTGTACGATTGCTCGGGTGAGGACGACACTGAGCTTTCCTTCCGCAAAGGCGATATTATTCTAGTGTACGAAGACCAAGATGACGGCTGGAGCGTTGGTCGTCTGGAGAATGGCAAGGACAAGAAAATCTTCCCGTCCAACTAGTATGTGAGATGCAGCACTGCTGTTTGGTCTGTACACTGGGCGTTGTTGTCACTTACTCTGCGCTTTGCTTGCTTTGTTGTCGTTCAAACAGTGTTCAGCGGTTGTGAGAACAATCGATATTTTTAGGCGCTGTCGGCCTTTGGTGTGGAAAGCGCCGTGGGTTGTGAATGTGTGTGTGCATGCGTGTGTGCGTGTGTGTGTGAGTATGTGTGTATGTGTGTGGTGTGCTGGTTGTGCATTATGTGATTAATAATAGGATGTTTATCATTGGTCGTGTTCGCGGTGTTTTCGGCTTGCAATTGGTTATGCCCCGAGAATCGCCGCCATGTTCGCTTGCAAACAAAATAAGGTTGTAGAGCATGGAACTCAACATGTGTGTGCCAAAGTGCTGTTGCGCACTGCTGGGTCTGTTGCCAAACTTTGCAACTGAATGATCCGTCAAGAAATTACAAAAAAAAAAAAAAAAAAATTCTAAACTGAAACAAAAAAAAAAAACTTGTCAACTTTTCTCGGTTTAGTTTGCTCGCTCTCTTCCTTTTCCTTGTGTAAGCCAAGTTGATCCGCCTGTCCGCCGCCGCATCCCCTGATCGAATCCGTTGCGAAATGAAGTTCTCTACCCGATTCCGTGGTGTGGAGAGGGTGGTGCAATGGAAGAAGGCTCGGAATCGGGGTTGAGAGGGCGGCAGTGTTGAGCGGCGAGATGAAGTCCAACAGCAATCCGTTTCAGCGTCCTGTGCGTCGGCCTGGCACCTCTGTCGGCACGCCAACCTCGGGGGTTGTGTTGTGGTACTCGGCGTAGCAACTGGGACCTCGGAAGGTCGTCGTAGTGGGGCAGGGCGGCCGCTGGGTGGACTGCTTCAACCATCAAGGTTGCTGAAGCTCGGACGAGTTGCTTGATTCGTTTCGCTGGCCCTCGTCGCCCTCCTTGGGCCGCCGCACAAGCCATGTAGTTCTTGTTGAGCTCTTCATCAGACTCGTGTGTTGGTGAGAAGTGCAAGCACCCTGGAGGTTTTCGCGTGCTCGATGGAGCGTGGAGTTTGGATTTTTTTTATTTTTTTTTTTTCGTTTTCTTTGTGGCTTGGTTCCATCTTCCCTCTTCGCGTGAGGAACAGACGGTGCGCGCTTGTTCACCCTCCCCAACACTCCTCACGGGGTCGATGCGAAACGACTCGTCGTTGCTTGTAGCAGTCATGGTCGTACATGAATTCTCACTTTTTTTTTTCTCTCTCTCTCTCTCTTCATTGCAGCCTTTGTTCAAATGGCCAAGCCAACCGCAACTGCCACGTCCAAGCCGAAGGGCCAGACCCCCGCCGCCGACAAGGCGCTCAAGGCTCGCAAGGCCAACGAGAAGGGCACCAACGGCGTCGCCAAGCGCAAGATCCGCACCACCTCGACCTTCCACCGCCCCAAGACTCTTGCTCTTCCCCGCGCCCCCAAGTACCCCCGCCGCTCGGCTCAGCGCACCAACGCCCTTGATGCCTACGCCATCATCAAGCACCCCCTCACTTCAGAGTCCGCCATGAAGCTGATCGAGGACACTAACACCCTCGTCTTCATCACCGACGTCCGTGCCAACAAGGCTCAGATCAAGGATGCCGTTCACAGCCTCTACGACATCAAGGCTGCCCGCATCAACACCCTTGTCCGGTGAGTCTACGGTTTTTTTCTTGTCTGTTTGTGAAGAGGTGGAGGGGAAACGAAAGATGCTTTTCAGGCGTTTTGTCCGCCTTGTCTTCTCCTCCTTTTCTTTTTGTAGCATTTGCTTCTTTGAAGGCTCACTATTTGTCCATGCCATTCCTCTTGTTTGTCAATCGTTCAGACCTGACGGCTTCAAGAAGGCATACGTCAAGCTTGCTGCCGACCAGGAGGCTTTGGAGATTGCCAACAAGATTGGCATTATCTAAGCGACTTGCCAGTTGTTTTGTTTCACTTCTTTGCGATCTTGCAATGAAAATTCCGGTTGTCGTTTTGTTTGCTAGAATGAAATGATACTTTTTCTTGGTTTCTTTGTGCACGAGTTTGCCGTACAGCACGACGACAAGGGGGGATTACGGGATGGAGCATGTACTTTGTTGCTTCGTGGCTGCAGCAAGAGGGTTGAGCGCCAGAGCTTTGTTTCAAAGAAGCCATCTGCAAGGGCATGGAAGTGAAAGTGCAGGTTTTGCGATCGCGTTCAGTCCAGTCCCTGTTGCATGAGATATTCCATCGACCGATCAAAAGAAAGCATGTGTTGCCTTGTTGACAGAAGGGGAGAGTAGAGTGTGCACAAACAAACAAAAAAAAAAAAAAAACGAAAAAAAAAAAAACAAAAAAAAACGAAAAAAAAAAAACCGAAAAAAAAAAAACGAAAAAAAACGCTGGACAAAGGGGGGATCGAACCCCCGACATCTTCCTTGCAAAGGAAGCACGCTGCCACTGCGTCATTTGCCCGAGACTGACTTTGGGCGACTCACGTTTTGAGAGGCCGCATCGACGCACAAACCTCGAAACCAAAAAAAATGAAAAGCCAAAAAAAATCGCTGGACAAAGGGGGGATCGAACCCCCGACATCTTCCTTGCAAAGGAAGCACGCTGCCACTGCGTCATTTGCGAGGGACGGCATTGGGCGAAACAGGAGTTGACAGGAAAGCGGCAAAGCGAAATGTCGGGAAATGGCAGATCGCACGAGATGAGGTTGGAAGTGACACGCTAGTCTCGCAAATATTCGATGCGTTGTATTCAAGCAAATTGTGTCGGTCTGGTGAATGTCTTCTTGCTCTCAGTACCTCCAGACTGCGAAATCGCTTGCGTCGAAATTGTTCTGGCAGTTGCTATCGAGGTCTGACCTTTCAACCCGAGCTATTTTGGCGTCAAAATGTTGTGATCTATATTTTTATTATTGGTAGCGAGTGCGAGGTGATCGGACCAAGTTGACGCAATGTTGAGTAAACATGGGTCTTTGCAATTAAGCGTTGAGTGCTCAATTCAGATTGATTACACTCAGTCCGAAAGAAAATCCTGCCCTACACGATGTCTAACGCCAAATAATATGATACAAGTAACACTTCTATTATAGTCTCACGTTTGAGCATTGAACGAGCCCACAGGGTTGACACGGCTTTTCAGTCCGCCAGCGCGTGCGGCAAATGCCGACATTTGACGCCACAATTCACCACCACAAGGCTCGAATCCAGGGAGAAAATAATATTTACAACATTATTTTAGTGAAGAGGCGACGTGTTGAGGTGTTTCTTTCGTCCTAGCATTGGTCGCTGTCGACCATTTGGGAACCCGTAGTTTTTCAGGTTTTCAATGCTTGCAAATCTTCATTGCGAATTGCTGTCTCGACCGCTTTCCAAAAAATCCAGCGTCTAAATAAAATTCTCTGTATTCAATCTTCATTATTTGTAGCGGTTGCACTCCACCATGTTTGAGGAAACACGCCGTCACGATCGGGTCGCTGGTTTCGACGGTCGATTCGCCTCGCACATGCCGCGCGTCGAGCTCTACGTGTTTCTGTGGCTGGCGTACGACGCACTCATCCACACCATCCTGGCAAGTGGCTCACGGCCAAATCCGCAAGACGGGAGTGGTGGATTTTGGGCGAATAAGGTTTTCAGTTTTGTGCAATATTTCAGCACCACGTTTGCAATTCGACCCTGCCGAGTTTCTCTGTGGCGTATCTGGACACCTCGTTTGGTCAGAACCCACACAATCGGTAAGGTGAGCAATGAGCAGTCAAGTCTCCTCGACAAGCTCAAGTCTCGCGCAAGATAATTTTTCCAGACTCGGGTGCTTGACAGTCAGGAGGACAGCAACACAGAACGGCAAACAAACAACCAACCAACCAAACAAACAAAAGAAAATGCAGGGACAAGCACGCTAGAGCTGGCTCGACGATGGCATCGTATTCGAAACAATCAGTCTTTGTTTTTGATCTTCTTGTTGATTGTTTATTGTGTAAAAATCTGTAACAATCTTTGCGGTTCTCAAATGGCAAAGAAGGCGGTACCCTCGGCTGCTCCTGCTCCTACTCCCATGCGCACTACAAGAGCCACCAAGCCAAAGACCAGCAGTCGCCTCAGTAGCACCGACGCAGTGGAAGACGATCGTGTGGTCGCGCCAATGGAGGTCGATCCACCCAAACCCAAGCGAGCTGCTGCCCGTGCTGCTGCTGCTGCCACTGCTGCTACTGCTGCCACATCAGCAGTGCAAGTGGCTAGTACTACTATTGCTGCTCCGCGAGGCAGGACCAGCAAGGCAGCCGCACCGGTCCCTGCCACTTCAATCTCAGAGCCGCTCAGCAAGGTGCCGCTTGTGCCCAAGAGTTGTGAGACGTAATGCCAGTCCACAAGCTCGTCACTGACATCTTGTTTGCTTCGTTCGTGATTTTGTTACTGTTTGATTTTTCACATAACGCCAGACCGCTCAGAAGAAGGCCACTGCACCAACCAACCAAGGATCTCAGGCTGTGAGCTACAGTCTTCGTGCTCGCAAACCCATTCAGGTTGCAGTTGCGCGTACTGGCAAGACGAGCTCAACTTCCAGTAATGGCGCCCCCACGACCATCCGCAGCAAGCGTCGGGCTGCTGAAATGGCCGGGAAGAACACCTCAACAGCCAAGAAGAACAAGAGGAAGGCTCGTCAAACGGACGCTGACGATGCTGACGACGGCGACTACGAGGACTGCGAGGACGACACTGCTGGCGACAACCAGGACAGCAAGAAGCTCAGCAGGGAAGAAGCGATTGGTGAAGCACTCCTGCAAAACACCACACTGACTACACTCGAGTATGTACTTGTCGGCTTCTGCTAACTCCATGTTTGTTTGATGCCTTGACTCACCGTATGGTATCAGCTTGGGTGATTGGGTGATTGACTTCAAGAATGCTAGAATGCAGCCGATTGCGGCCGCGTTAGCGCAGAACAAAACGCTGACGACACTCCGGTATGCAACGCCGGATCCATTGCCTATGGTAATGGCAGCTGTACAAAGCTCACTCGCTCACTGCTTTACTTTATGATAACAGGACTCAAAATTACACTGACGCAGTGATTGCCGATGCACTGACGCAAAACACCACACTGACTGAACTCTCGTAAGTTGTTTTTGCACCATTTGCCCGTGTTGCTTTGTGCGAGGTAATTGGCTCACCATGTAACGACAGAGGTTACCTCGATGCCAATGGAGCGCGATCGATGGCAAAGGCACTGACGCAGAACTCCACGTTGACCACGCTCTAGTACGCACCATTTTCGCATTTTGTTTGCATTCCAGTGAACCATTGCAAATGCTCCTGTTTGCTTCGATGGCGTCGCTCATTGTGTGGTAACAGTGTGGGCTGGGGTAAATTCGGCCCGGCAGAAACAAACGCGATTGCCGCCATCCTGAAGCAAAACACGTCACTGACCACCCTAGAGTATGCTTCTTTCCTCTCATGCTGACCACTACCGCGTCTAATTGCAAACATCAATCTAACCATGTCTGTATGTTGGGTCAGGTTGTATGGTCCTCGAATTGGAGACTTTGGAGCTCAAGCGATCGGAAAAGTGCTGAAACAAAACACCACTTTGACTGCACTCCGGTAGGATTCCACCACTCTCTTCCTCGTCTGCTAGTTGCTTGTTCGCTGATAAGTTGAATCGCATATTGAATTATTGATTCTCATTGCATGGTCACCAGCTTGCTCGGCAACGACATTGGCAGCGCTGGAACGCAAGCGATTGGAGAGGCACTCAAGACCAACTCGGCATTGACTACGCTTGTGTCAGTGTCACTGTCGTGCTGAATCATTGCTTGAGGTCATGATTGGAGCTGCTGTGGTATGTGTTGCTCACTTCATTGTAAAAGTTTGGATAAAAACAAGATTGGCGAAGCTGGTGGACTTGCGATCGCTGATGCTCTGGTGTGCAACAAGACGCTGACCACGCTTTCGTACGTTCTGCCGGATGGATGTTGTGACTCTGGGTTCTACTGCTGCGTTGTTATGCCATCGCTGACATCAATTGCCACAGGCTTTATTGGTGTTCGATTGGAGATGCTGGAGTTGAAGCGATTGTCCACGCGCTCGAGCAGAACACGACGTTGACCTCCCTCAAGTATGATCCTCCCTTCTCATTTTGACTGAATCCATGTCTTTGTAACTGCAAGTGCTGTTTCATTTGCCCTGTCGCTGACTGTAATGCTCGCAGCTTGAAAAACAATATCACTCTCGGCTCAGGTGCGCAGGCGGCGATACCACGGATGCTCCAAGTGAACACGACGCTGACTGAGCTTGAGTACGTGACAGCTCCTACCTTTATCCCCCCACCCCAAACAAAAAGCAGAAAGATGAAGAGAACGAAAATCGAGGCAATCACGGCTGCCTAATACCGCATGCTCACACGTTGATTATAGTCTGGGCGACAATAGATTGAACAGCGTTGGATTCCAAGCAATTGCAGAAGCGCTCGCGAAAAATACTTCTCTCACGAAACTCTCGTACGAGATCTTCGCTTTGTGTTGATGAATGTTGTGCTGTATTGTGGTATCCGATGGTATGACTCACCGGTTTGGAATAGACTTGCGCGTGACGCAATGGAAGTAGCCGGAGCGCAGGCGATTGCTACAGCACTCAAGAGCAACACCACACTGACCACACTCAAGTATGTTTGCAATCTGTCATGCCGGTTCGACGCTATCACTCTTGATTATCAGGGTGCTTTGAAATTCTCACTGCTTGATCACAGTCTGGACCACAGTCGATTTGGTGATGCCGGCGCGCAGGCCATTGCGGATGCTCTTCGGCAGAACAAGACGCTTACCACTCTGCAGTATGTTTTTCAGCCGCATTGGCCCGTTTCTCGTCTGCAAAGGCCAAAGATTAACCTTGCTTGTATTGCTTGTCACGTGTCAAGTCTCAAAGACTGCAGGATTGGCACTGCTGGACTCCAAGCGATCGGTGGAGCACTCGCGCAGAACAACACGTTGACCACGCTCAAGTACGTTTGGGAGTGCTGTTGTAGAGAGCGAAGCTATATTCTGATGAAACTTTTCCTTGCCACTCGAAAACACAGTCTTTCAATGAACCCGATTGACGATGTTGGAGCCAACAGCATTGCCGAAATGCTGAAGTCGAACACCAGTTTGACCACTCTCGAGTACGTTCTATGCTCCTGTTGTTGTGGAGCTGGTTGTTGTGGAACTGGTTGTTGCTGCATTTACTCACGATCAGCCAACAGTCTGAGTTGCAGTCAACTTCGTTTTAAAGTGCACGAGATTGCCGAAGCTCTCAAGCAGAACACGGCGCTGACGACACTCGAGTAAGGGCTTTCTGTCACTCATACACAATTGCTGTTCCTTGATCGTTCTATTGCTCACCGCATTGCTCAATCAGTTTATCGTCCAATGATCGTGGTTTGATTGCCTTCAACCCTATCGGCGCTGTTGGAGCGCAGGCGATTGCCGAGGCCCTGAAGCAGAGCAAGACTCTGACGACGCTGCGGTACGTTCTTTGTTTGCTGATTGATGTCACACCTGAAGGCGGACGACCTGCTTGTTGGTATTCTTACTTAACATGTGGTTGCAGTCTGAATAACAATGCCATTGGCACTGCTGGTGTGAAACCTATTGCCGAGGCGCTCAAAGTGAACACTGCGCTGACCACGCTCGAGTATGTTCAATCTTCCGCGGTGATTGGTGTCATGCCTCACTGTAATCACTTTGCTTGTTATGTGGGAGCAGGTTGGATGGCAATTCCATTGGCGATGCTGAGACGCAGGCAATTGCACCCGCACTTGTTCAGAACACGACTCTAACCTCGCTCAAGTACGTACCAAGTCGCATGCCGATATGCCTCGATGCTTGATTCACTGAAACTGACACTGTTTCTGGGATTAGACTAGGGAACGACGTGCTTGGCAAAGCCGGAGCGCACGCGATTGCCACTGTGCTGCAGCAAAACGCCAAGCTCACCACCCTCGAGTACGGTCACCTTTCATTGTGTGTCGTTTGATGCTCCGAAAGTGATACCAAAGTGCTAATTGATGATTCATTGTTCGTTTTTTGGTTTGGTTGTTCGTGTTCTTCACCGTGATGACATCACAGGCTGTCGGCTAGCTTTGTTGCCTGTGCAGTGCAAACAATCGCAGCCGCACTCAAACACAACACTACGCTGACCACGTTCAAGTAGGTTATACTCCCTCGTGCCGGTCAAAGTCTCAATTGTGCGCATAAAATGATTCTTTCTGCTGCGATTACTCACGGCGTTATTCCAGATTGCGAGATTGGAACAACTACGATCCTGAATTCGAGCGTGAAATGTCAGAACCATTGACCACAGAGCGGTATGTTGTCCTGCAGTTGACATTAACTCTGAAGTGGCCAAAGGTGGTCGCTCACGCAACTTGTCACCGTGTGGTCACAGTCTGCTGCCGCAGGTGCGTAATCCGCATGATTTTGGACTCGAAAAAGCCCTGTCGCGGGTTTCCAGGCTTTTGTATGTTCCTTCTCCCTTCTCCTGTTGTTCCCCCTTCTATGACGTCGACGCATGTGATGCTTCTTTCGATGGATATAAGTAACTCAGTTTATGCGGACAGCTTGCGTGAGAACATTGTTGACTCTGCTGGAGTGCAAGTGATTCAAGAGGTTCTGAGTTTGACCAAGCCAAGCAAGCTTGAGTAAGTTTTCGTGCTTGGTTGGTTTTATCTCTTTCATTGGAAGCTACATTTGATGGTTGTTCACGACACTGTTTAGGATTCCCTTTGGCGTTGACTCCTTTGGAGCGCAAGTCATTGCAACATCGCTCAAGCAGAATTCTTGGATGACCCGAGCTCGAGTATGTTTGCTTCTCTCGCTGATTTGCTTCGTTCGGGGGAGAGGCGGTGGACACGTTGATGCAAGTACTCACCGCGTGACAACAAACAGTCTGAATTCCAATAAGATTGGCCCGATTGGAGCCCAAGCGATTGCAGAAGCGCTGACGCAGAACACCAAGCTCACTATACTCAAGTATGTTGTCTTTCCATCGCGCTGCCTTGCTGATTGTTGTCGTTCTTGGCGTTGTCAGCTAATCGCTGCTCGACCATGTCGGGGGTTTGTTCAATCACGACATGGCTCTAGTCTGAGTTCCACTCTGCTCGGAGATGCAGGAGCGGAGGCGATTTCCAAGGCACTCAGGGCGAACACGACACTGACCACTCTAAAGTACGAAATGGCTATTTCTGCCCTTGCCTTGTTGCGCCCTTGCCTTGTTGCGCTGCGCTGATGATACTCACACTTTGAGCAGCCTGCGCGAGTGTTGGATTGGCAGTGCAGGAGCGCAGGCGCTGGCGGAGGAACTGAAGCACAACGTGGGATTGACGTCGCTCGAGTACGTTTCCGTTCGCTTGCTACCTTGCATGCTGAGCATGTCGTTGAATGAACAGTGATAGCGGTACTTACCTTTTGAGAGCAGCCTGTCCCGCAATTCTATCGGCGATAGTGGTGCAAATGCGATGGCGGCAGTGATTTCGCAGAACACAACACTGACAACCCTCGAGTATGTTCCTCTCGCTTTTCTGCTGCTTCGTATCGCATTGGTAATTGAACAAGCTGCATGTTACTCACGGCGTTATCCAAAGTCTCGGAAAGAATCATATTGGCGATGCTGGCGCCGAAAGGTTGGCAGAAGCGCTCCTGCGGAATACCACGCTCAAGGGGCTCAGGTATAGAACCAGATTGAGATCAGCAATGAATGTGTGTACGTGCTGCTCTGCAGTGCTTTTGCTCACTCCAATGCAAACAGTTTGTGGTATAACGAAATCGGGGAAGCCGGAGAGCTTGCGTTGGACAACGCACTCAACCAGAATTCTGCACTTGACTGGCTCAAGTATGGTCCCTTTCTCTGATGCTGATTCTGTCGTGTATGCACGTGGTACTTACTGTTTGACGGCATGGCTTTCTCACTTGGAACAGCTTGAGCGAGAATCAACCGCCGAATTAACCAAAGAACGCTCGCTTCCTTTTCTCTGGTGGTGTGTTGCTGTGTTTTCTTCTGATGATGACTTTTGCTCACTTCGAGGGAGCAGATTGTGTTTGAGTTCGGGGAGTTTTGTAGACGTAGTTTTTTTGTTTGTTTGTTTGTGAGTGTGTGTTTTTACCTTGCATGGCTTGACAAATACAAGTACTTCGTTGAGTGTCAACCTTTCCATCATGAAACCGTGCAAACATGAATTAAGGTGCTGTGATCAACCTGTGGATTACCCCGAAGCGTGAACCAAAGCCGGAATGGTTCCCAGTTTGAGCTTGTACAGTATTGTAGAGCTCTGAAGAACTCAAAATGAGTGCCACCATCCCTCGAACGAACAGGTAGTTTTGCAAACGCTTCCAGAATGCCGATTTGTTCTTAACCATCAATACGATAGTACTGCTGAGAGCAAAGCGGGTCGAGATCACGGCAACGGTCTGCCCAATATCAAATCTTGGAGCTTACATAGTTCGTCAAAGCACAAATGTATTGGAAAAACAAAAGGCAAACGCTCGCACGAAGGTTTGAGAATAAATAACAACAAACAACAATCAACGGCGCACAAAGCTCAGGGCTAGTCCTTTTTGGGATAGCACAGCGGGATGTACTCCAAACTGGGATACGGCGCAGGGACTGCACAAAAGCTGTTTGAGCGATCTATCTGCGTGTACATCAGTGTGGATGCGCATCGGTTGGAGACCGTCGTCCAAAGTGGCTGGGCCACATCGCATAGCACCTCGTCGTAAGCAGAGGCCTCCCCGAGTGAGAAACTTTGAGCACGAACACCACCCTGTGCCGGGACCAAGTGATCGAGAATGTCCATCTGCTTGTCTTTGAAGGCCAGCAGCCAGTACTGGAAAACAAGATGGTCAAACCAGAACCAGGTCACCTCCTCGTGTCTGCGTGACGTGTCAATGAGTGCAAGAAACTCGGGCACATACATGGCTGGAAAGACAGGCATGTCGTTAAACCAAGTGTATGTCGACAAGTTGGCTGTCTTGCGGCGCAGCTGCTGGTAAGCGGCATCGTCCGTCCGACGGATCAAGTCGGCAGATGCGTTCATGATATCGTCAAACACTGGTGGATGGCCAGGGAACATTGTGACGCCAAAGAAGTGTGTTCGGTGGTCGTTGGCGGCCAGGGCTGCCCGCAGTGCGGCTCGCCGATTGACCGCGGAGGCGGAGGCGGTTGTCGATGCAGTGTTCAACACGCCTCTGCTCCAGACAACTTCCACGTCGGTCACAATAAAATACTCGTACGTCGGCACGTTGAAAGGCAGCGCCCAAGTCTCGCCAAGCGACGCGCGAGCCAGCAGATCGAGCGCGTAGTACTTTTTAAACCAGACCGGATTGCGCCCAAAGCTGGGTAGAGTTGCGAGGGCAGACGGCATAATGATTGTATAGAAGGGTCGTCGTGCATGCCAGCCGTCGAGATTCTCGTCCGGCACGAAAAACGCTGGATCGACATTGCGCCAGGTCTGGCGGAGTGCAGTGTCGGTGGTCTCGTCAACGACAAAGTACAAATCCACCAAACCATTGTACTCGTAATACAACGAGGTGGCGGTCGCCATGATGGAAAACAAGCAATGAGCGAGCGGCTTTCCTTCCGAGCCACACAACAGCGGGATAATGTGCGCTGCCACCGGGCCATCGTATGTTGTATATTGAGCCAAAGGGGGTCGAAACTTTGCAAAGTTCGAGGTGAAGCACCCTTCAGACAGCGGGTCTGCTAAATCGCACTGGAGATCAATGCGACCGAGGCGTGCTCGTTGCACATCCGAAGAAACACTGGACGGGGAGGGCTCTGGAGTTGCGGACGAAGGAGTCGGACTCGACGTGATGATTGGCTCCTTGCACCAACTGGTCTGTTTCTGATCGTTGCGCCAACCATCGTGTGTAATTTATGATGCACCTCGTCACAGGAAGGATCGTTCGTGTTCATGTCTCTGCGCAGCACTGTCAAGGAGCACGACAATGCATTTGCTTCATTGTGTACGATTTTATGATTTTTGGTGATGCACGATGATGCTTCTCATCTTGCCATGCGGATTGTCTCACCGTCGTTCAACCACTGTCTGTTGTATTGCCAAACATGAATTATGCGGCGTCACGCGTTACAGGGAAAGAGTACAGCAAAGCGGACGCTCGCTGGCTCGTCTCCGACCCGACGGTGGTTTCGCTCGAGATTCTGACCGTCTTTTTCGACACGTTCTCAAATTGAGTTCACAGGCTCCATCTGTTCGTTCCACTCCTCGGTCTCTTGCTCGAAGACACTACAACCCCCCTGAAAGCGGAGATCCAGTCCTTTTGAAAATTCGAGCCTTCTTCCCCCATCCGTCTTGTTGATTAGATCTAGCAATTGTTAGCTCAATCAAGCGAAAAAAAAAAAAAAAAGCCCCAAAAAGTAAAATGAGCGACCATTCACCTCGATTGGCACGCAGCAGCAGCAGCAGCAGCAGCAGCAGCAGCAGCGGTCACGGCGCCCCGTTGCTGGACCAGCATGCATCAACGACTGCGCACACGGGTGCCGTGGTGGACAAAGTGACCGACGCCGCTGGGAACGCGGAAGACGACGACGGCAGCAGCCACGTTCGTAACCAGGCTAATCAACCCACAACAGCGACAACAACAACAACGACGACAGCGAGCTCGAGGTCGAGGGCGAGGACGACCTCCTCCGCAACCCGAGCTGAGCAGGGCGATTCTGCAGCGCTCGCCACGGCGGACGACGCGGCGGCAGTCGAAGAGGGCGTGGTGGTCGTCAGAGTCGAAGGCGAAGTGGGATTGCAGCAAACCGCACCCGTCTCGACCGCAACGCCGACACCACCGGCGACTGCAACGACGGCAGCTGCCGCAGGCGCCCAAGGAGCGAAAGCAAGGCCACTGAGTGTGTCATTCACGCTCACCCGGGAGCAGAAGCGCGAGTACGCAGAGCAGCATGCAGCGCAGCAGAACGCAATCTCTGCTGAGAATCAGAGCAACGACAGACTGGGACTTCGCACCGACTCGGTCTCAGCAGGATTTGTGGGCGCGCACCGCCACGAGTCAATTGGCCGTCGCTTGAGCGTCGGTGTTGCCAGCTTCAAGGGGAGAATCCGCTCCATGATCGGTTCGCCGCACTCGCCACAAGGAAAACAGCAGGCACGAATTGCTCAGTTGCTCAGAGCTGCCCTCTCCGTCTGGGAAACGACCAACTCGACCTCAGAGATATCCAACGCGTGGAAGGAGGCGTTGGCCGAGCTGAAAGAATTTGCCAAGCAGTACGACCCAGTTTCGCGCGGTCCGCTCGTCGAGCATGTTCAAACGTGTTCGCGAGTGATTATTGAACGAACTCGCGAAGGCCAGTTTGGCCATCCGCAGTTCGGGATTGAGATCCATGCTCTGACTAGCATGGTCGCCACTTTGGCTGCAGTCACGCCTCGTCCTCGAATCGACACTAGCGAACATGCCAATTCCGCCGCCTCGACTGCAGCCCAAGCCTCGACGTCCCCCAGCCACCCCGAAGCCATCCCAATGTCAAAGCTCACACCCACGCGGGGTATTATGAAAAAGCCGAAACCTTCCCGCGAGCAGGAAGACGTTGATCGCAAAGATCTCTTGGAGGCTCAGCAGATTGGCCAATCGCTCAATGCTTCATTGCGCGATTTGGAGCAGCCTTTGGAGTCCCACGTTTCCATCAACCTTCCTGATTCTGCAGAAATCACGGCCGCAAACATGCCACTGTTTATTCCAGACGCCTCTCGACAGTCTGGCGCAACATGGTCGGTCTTGATGCAGCGCGACGAAGTGCTCAGCTTTTCCGAGGCCTTTTCGGCCGCGCTTCCGCCTCGCGTCAACACCAAAGTCTCTTGCGATGATTTGCGATTTACAGTACAGGTACCAGTGTCGATAGATTGGATTTTTTGTTGCGAAAGCGGTTGTCATTGACTTGTATTCTGATACCGTCGGCACTTTCCAGGTCAAAAATCCGGATGCCAAACAACCGCGCGCGCCTCCTACGATCCGAAAAGAGATTCTGAAGGGCGTGTCCGTGATTGTGGAGGCTGGTACAGTGCTCGCAATCATGGGCCCCAGCGGTTGTGGCAAAACAACGCTGCTGGACATTCTTGCGGGCAGGAAGACGCGCGGTGACATTCGAGGCCAAGTCCTCATCAACGACAAGCCACGCGAATCGTTTGGTCGTTTCTTTACCCGCATGTCTGGCTACGTGACGCAGGACGACGTCTTGCCGGAAACGTTAACCGTGCGCGAGTCGCTGTGGTACACTGCACAGCTGCGACTGCCCCAAAGCCTCGCCAACGTCCGCAAGAATGCTCGAGTCGACGAAATCATCCGCTTGTTGACACTCGGCGGCTGCAAAGATTCACGCATCGGCGGCAAGCTCCTTCGAGGCATCTCTGGCGGCGAACGTCGGCGCCTCTCCATTGGAACTGAGCTGTTGACATCGCCATCCATTCTGTTCCTTGGTACGTCGGAGATGATTGTTATACCTCTGTGGTTGTTTGGGTTGCTTGGGTTTGCTTGCATTGTCTGCGTTGGTTTGACGGCTCATCTTTGCCTTCCGTTGATGGTAAACTCCAATGCCGCTTGCTCTTCCTCACTTTGACCTGAATGAATCGCGCAGATGAGCCTACAAGCGGCCTTTCCGCAACTGACGCCCTCAATGTGATGGAGACAATCATGGGTCTTGCCAAGCAAGGACGAGCAGTGCTCACGACTATTCACCAACCTCGATCCAACATTTTCCATATGTTTGACCAGCTTTTGCTCATGTCTCAAGGCTCGCCCGTGTACTACGGATCTGCCAGTTCAGTTGGGCGCTACTTTGCACAGCAGGGGTATGAGTGCCCAGCTGGCTTTAACATTGCCGACTTTATACTTGATGTGGTGACGGTTCGTCCGCCGTTGTCTGGTCAAGCTGCTCATGTGGCAACTCCCGACCCGTCTACCGCAAGCACACGGCTCAGCACAGTCTCTGCTAGCACAGATGCCTCAGGACTCACTTACTCGTCGTCTCAATCGGCGGACAAGAGCGGCGCGCCCACCGACGAGTCTGTGCAAGCTCTTGTCAATTCTTTCATGAGCTCGGCACAGTATGCTGCTACTCGCCAGGCCCTCCAGAGCACGCGCAAAGCAGCCGATACTGCTGTAGACTCGAATGCCGAGGTGAAAGCCATCACGACCACCTATGGCGCCACGTACGCCACTTCCTTCCTTGTCCAATTCGCGCTGCTGTCGCGTCGCATGTTCTTTACCACCCTGCGCAACCCCTTCATGTTTGCTGCCGGCCTTATCATCAACATTGTGTTTGGTGTGATCACCGGTTCGATCTGGGCCTCGCTCAACCAAGACAAAGAGCGTTCGATTGTCATGGCACTTTACTACATTCCTGTATTTCTTGGTGTTGAAAGCTTCCTGGTGGCTCCGCTGCGTAAGGGTGGTTGATGTTGATGTTGTTGTTGCTGTTGTTGCCTGGTGATGGATGGTTTTTTGGATGTTGTCACAGACTCACCTGTTACTCGCCATGCCGAATAGTTGTGGAAGAACGTCACTTGTTTCTACGCGAACGGGCCGCGGGAGCATACCGCACGAGTGCCTATCTCGCCGCACGAGTCGTGAACGAAACACCACAGTACGCGCTGAGTGGCTTGGTGTTTGCCATCATTTGCTACTTTATGATTGGATTCCAGCAAGATCTGCTGTATTACTGCGTCGTGATTGTCATCTTCATTAACGTCGGCATCAGCTTTGTGTCGCTGGTGGGTGCGGCTGCATCGACAGCGGAGGGAGCCAACATGGGCGCTGCATCGTACAACACCTTTGCCATGCTCTTTGCCGGTTGCTTTCAGACCTTGCCCAACTTACCCAACTACTGGACCTGGGCATACTATGCCTCGTACATGTCCGCTGGGTTTTCTGGTCTCGTCAAGGCCGAGTTCACGGATGCAGTCGCGCCACCAATCGTCAACGGAACCCTCTCCACGGACGGCTTGACGCAGCAGGAGGTGAATTATGTGATTCTACAGACCTACGACCTTGTCATCGCCAATCCTTGGGACAATGTCTACATTCTCCTGGGATGGTGGGCAGGCTTCCGCATTCTGACCTACTTTGCCCTTCGTTTCCTGAACAAGGAGCAGCGGTGAAGGGGTGTCTTTCGAGCTTTCGACTTTTAGTTTTTTTGTTAGTGTATTGTTGTGTGAGTTTTTGATTTGTTGGTTGCCGTTGAATGGTTCGATGCGTGAACAGTTAGATTTAGATTCAATACAGGAAGATCTCGATTGGCTCCTTGTATTGATTTCCCCCCCCCCTTACCTCCTCCACCTCTTCCTGTTACAAACAAAGATTTTGTCGTTAGGCGTGTGTCGTCCTTGCTTTTGATCGTCCAAGATGACAGTAGAACTCGCCAAACCTCGCTACTCGCTGTCTCTCTGAAACTTGTTCCCCGTTGACAACTCCAAACAACTCCGACACCAAATGCTTTTTTGATGAAGCCACAACAAGCAAAATGCCTCATCTCACCAAAATCTCAGTCACCAATCTCAGTCCTCAATTCGGAGAAAACCACCCCCCAAAACACCAAAAACAAACAAACAAAAAATTGCGCGGGAAAAAACTGAGATTTTTGTTGTTTCAGATTGAATGAGCGAGTTCGCGCCATCTGCGTCTGCGTCTGCTTCTGCTGCTGCTGCTGCTGCTGCCGGAAGTGGCATTGCACTCCGCTCTCCAGCGCTTGCTGCTGCCGTTGCACAGTCCACTGCGGCTGCCGCGAATGCCGTGGCTACCCCGGCGGGCGTCCAGGCGGTCGCCAAGCTCAACCGCGCGGGCCAGAATCCGTTCGCCTTCGGTCAGCTTCTGTCGCCGCTGCTGGGCATTTCGGACGTCTATCTGGGCGCCGACGCCAATCCGGTTGTGTTTAGCGAGGGCACGTGCTGCCTGGATCTCGGCGACTACGTCATGCTCACGGTGCGGGCGACCGCCAAGGGGCTCGTCGGCGTTGATGCAGAGCCGGTCGCCGTTGCGTTCGGCGTCGTCGTCCAGCCAAACGTCATCCAGGGCGAGGACGGACTTCTCTACGCATTTGACAATGGAGACATTCTGCCAAACTCTCCCCTTGCGGACGAGCTGGCACGAAGCCCGCGGCAGCACGAACCAGTGCTCTTTGTCTCGTGCAGGCCGCGCGTGCAGACGACGACTGGATCCGCACTGCCAATGACGCTGCACACCCACCACCAACAGCTGCACGTCGGATCGGGATCATCGCCCATCACCATTGGCACCACAAGTAACCACCACGCCGGCCTGAATGGCACAAGCAGTCATATCGCTGCAACAGTCTCGCCAGGTTTGTCGTCCTCATCGGCACCGCACGTCATGCCAATCGCTCGTCTCGTTGCCAGTCGGATCTCGTCCGTCGTAAAAGCGTGGAAGTCAAACGACAAGATGCCATACACCAGCTCGGGTTTCATCCTTGGGGTGCCCCCGTTGCGCGACTTTTGGATTGGCGTGCCAAAACGCTCATCCACTCTGCAAAGCCAAGCCATCACGCTCTTCAGCGAGGCTCACGCGCACGAAACCTTGTTAACGCTGGCGGCAATCCGAAACGACCGCGGTGGACTGACAGGACTGTTTATGAGCGCCGAAATTGAGCGTGGCATTCTCGTTCCGTTGGCAAGCGGCGACCGCTGTTCCATCGAATACACCTGGCGACCCAACAGCGCCGCGGTTTTGCATGCCTATTTCTCCATCGCGTCTGCTTGGGCCTACACCGCCTTCCCTTCGATTGTTCCCGAGCCAGGTGATTTGGCGACGTTCCGCTTGGTCTTGAGCTCGCAAGCCGTGACACGAGTGCGTCTCTTGTGCACTGCCACCGTGCAAGGCGCCGGTGATGCGCTGCAACTTGTCGTGAAGCGACGTGCTGGGGATTTGTACTTGCCCGTACCACAGGCACTCCCCTTCCCGTTGCTCGATGGCGACCGTGTGACGTTTGTTCTTGACGTGCGTTACTCGAGCTCGCCCGAGCCGTCTCCGTTCGGAGTAGTGCAAACCAGCTCAGCCGCAGTCACATCTGCATCACCTGCTGCTGCTGAGCCAATATCGCCACCACGGCAGCAGTCACCGTCGTCGGGCGGATTATTCCCACACTTGGTGGCGTCATCTTTGCGTTTGCTAACAGCCCGCGATGGCGACGCTAATTCGAGCATTCTGCGTGGAGTGCTCAATGTGGCCACCTCTCAAATTGACTTTCGCGGTGCGCCAATTGTGGTGAGCTCGTACCACTCGTCCTTGCACAATCCTCACATGTCACGTGCGACTGTGGCCTTCCGGCTGTCGTACACATCTGCGCGAAGCGGCGCCTTGGTCTTGCAAGCGTCGGACGTGCGGGATGTTCACCCTTCCGAGCCGCGGCGCATCGAGCCGAGCAGTGTCACCAGCGCAGATGTCGCGCATCCAAACCCGCGTGCTGGAGCGGCGCCTATGCGACCTGCTCCCAGTGACATGTCAGCCAGTGCATCAGCGCTCTCATCGCCAGCTGCAGTCAATGTTCCAGCAGCTTCCCTCCTACCCGGAAGTTCGTCGGGTTCTCCGAGCGCCAATTCCGCGTTTGTCTCCAAAAGTTACGGAGGCTCACCCAGCGGTGCACATCTTCCTCCTGCCGCGATTGCGAGTCAACTTTGGGTTGGAGGAGGTGAGTCTGGAAGCACCCCGGACGGCAGCTTCTCTCGCTTCAAGCCCAGCAGTCCGTATCCAATTTCTCGACCGCCGACATCCGAAGTCACAGCAACCATGACTCGAGGCGCCTCCATCGTCCTTCCAAATGGTGACCCATCCGTGTTTGGAACAAGCCCCGTGCTGTCAAATGTCGGCTCGGGGCCTTTGCGCCTCGCTGCTGACGCCATGACGCCGGGACACGCTGCTGCTGCTGCTGCTGCTGAAATGTTGGTAGACCCAACGGCCCCGGCCGCGTCTGTGCTCTCCAGTCTCTCCACGAGCCCGCTCGATCTCTGGGCGAATCCAGTCACTCCACTAAAGCCGACGTCCCTAAAACCGTTGCTCTCCAAGAAGGTAGATGCCTCAGCGCCTCTTGTTGCACCGATCTTCCCGTTTTCGGATTTCGCCCTCGGCTCGACCCCAGACTTGCTGTGGGGGCCGCGCTCCTCCTTTGCTGCCGATTTCGGCACATCATCGGCTGGATCCTCGTCAGCGTGGGATTTGCCGCAGCTGTCGTCAGCACTTGCGTATTCTGCGATTCGCCCAACGGACACCATGCAGCAGCTTGGGCTTCCAGGCAATCAGCACCCATTACATCACAGCAGCGGGGCTCGCAGCAGCGGCTTTGTCTCCAGCGCAACCACCAATGTTCTCAACGACGGCAATGTTTGTGTTGCCGACCGGCTGCGCTTTGACCCCAAAAATATTCTTGGTCAAGGTGCTCACCAGGTGTTTGAGGGAGACTTTCGCACTCCGCTCGGCACCTACAAGGTTGCAGTCAAGGTTGTGGGCAAAGTTGCTGCCAACAATTATCCAGAGTATTTAAAAGAGGTGGACACCTTACGCACCATGTCCCATCCCAACATTATCCGCATCTATGACCATTTGCAGAACGACAAGTACCACTTTATTGTCATGAAGAAGGCGGCCTTCACCATGCACGACTTTGTTCGGCAGCAATCCGATCACTACCGCCCCGACATGCGAATCAAGCACGTCCGGCAATTGTTTGATGCGCTTTCGTTCTGTCACTCCCAGACTCAGCCCATCATTCACGGAGACATCAAGCCCAGCAACGTTTTGCTCACCGACACGTTGGATTTGCTCTTGTCCGATTTTGGCGGCAGCCGGCACACGCTGTCCACAAGCGCGCTGGACTCCAAGCTTGGCGCAGCCAGTCCTATTCCCAGTCAACCCGGCACGCCTCGATGGCGAGCGCCAGAGGTGATGCTCGAGCAGCGGTTTAGCACGGCGGGTGACATTTTCTCGCTTGGGTTGGTTGTCTACTTTATGCTCTCGGACGGCGAGCATGCCTTCCAAGGCGACGCCGCCGATGAGCTGGTCGAGCAGTACGTTCGCGAAAACCGTCAAGTTGGATTGGAGGCTGCCGAGGCCAATGGAGCAGCGTTCATCACGCAGCACCCGGGCTGTTGCGCTCTGATTACTCGCATGATTGATGCCGATCGTGAGAAGCGACCAAGCATTCGCGACGTCATGGCGCACCCCCTCACGTGGACGGACGAAGAGCGACACGCGTTTGTTCGTAGCTGCCATCGGGCCATCCGGTCCTTCAAAGACCTCAAGCACTTTATCGTCAATCACCGCGACGGGCGCATTGTTTGGGCGCGCAGCAAGCATTGGAACCGCGTCTTTCTTGACGGGCCTCAGGAGCACCAGCAGGTGTTTCATTGGGTGAGCCGTCCACCCGACGGTCCGTACGGAGACACGCTTGCCGATTTGCTTGTGTTTGCCTGTCGGAGCCTTGACCACATTCACGAGGCGCAGGCCGAAGTGCGCTCTGCCGCCGGCAAGGATGGATTGGCGCTTGTCGTGCAGCTCTTCCCGCGTCTCATTGATGTCACGTATGCCATTCTTCAAGAATACCGTGCGGCGCTTGTCCATTGTCTTGGCGAAGTGGATCAGATTCTCCATCCGTCGACAGGCGGTTCTTCAACCTCGGCCTTGGGTTCATTATGAGAACCTTTATGTGTTTGTCGTTGTGGTGTACTTTGTGTACTTATGCGGCATTGTGCACAAATGCAGTACAGTACAGTACAATGCCGATACGATCCAATTCAGTTCTCTGAGCATGCATTCGCTTGCATTGTATCAAATGCATGAATGTACAAGTTCTTCTTCTCAGTTTTGGTTTCTCAGTCTTTCCAGCGCATGTCGACTGAGACGTTGTCGTCCGCCGAGTCATCGTCGTCGTCGTCGTCGTCGTCGTCGTCCGCACCCGTGCTGGCCACCGCCGCTGCTGCACGGCGCCACGATGCACTCGCCTGGCACCTCCGCCATTACATCAGCGCCGCTCCAGCAGTGAGCGTGTCGCCCGAGGGAGCTGATGCACAGGCTGCTGCGGATGCTGCTGCTGCTGCTGCTGCTGCTGCAGATGCCACTCCCAGCGCGACTTCAACCGCAGCCGCCACGGCGACGACGACCGCCGCAGGAGCAACAGTCCTGGCACTGCCTGCGACCGCCGAGACCGGTCCGTCGAAGCGCGTCGGAGCGCTGCTGGCGACCAATCGCTCAGACGTGTACGAGCGGCTCGACTTCTTGGGCGAGGGTCAGTTTGCCACAGTGTACCGCGCACGGAACAAGTCGACAGGCGAGATTGTCGCCATCAAGAAGATCAATCTGGGCAAGATGGAAGACGCGCAGAACGGGCTCAACCGGACGGCCCTGCGCGAAATCAAGCTGTTGCAAGAGCTGCACCACACGAACGTCATTGGCCTCGTGGACGTCTTTGGCCATGCTCGGTCCAACAATATTAGTATTGTGTTTGAGTTTATGGATGCCGATCTCGAGAAAATCATCCGGGATCCAAGAAATGTCTTCCAGCCGGGCGACTACAAGAGCTTCATGCTGATGACATTGCAAGGCATCGAGTATATGCACGACCGCTGGATTTTGCATCGGGTATGTGTTTGTGATTGGTCGGGAGTGTGTTAGGGGAAACAGTCGCTGCGGAGAGGTCGCTGCGGTGCAGTGGTGCAGTCGGTTGTTGGCGTTGACGTTGGTTTCTGCTCACTCTGGATGGTGCGTTTGGCTTTGCTCTCTTCGCCTTTAGGATCTCAAACCGAATAACTTGCTGATATCCGGTGCCGGCGTCGTTAAGCTGGCGGATTTTGGTCTTGCTCGCGATTACGGCAGCCCTGATAAGATCTACACAAACCAAGTTGTCACATTGTACGAAGACTTTTTTTTGTTTCTTTGTTTGTCTGTTGTTGGTGTTGCTGCTCGCTTTTCTCGCTCGTTTGTACCGTGCCTTACGCCGCTGCGCTTTGATAGATGGTATCGTGCGCCCGAGCTCCTCTATGGTGCTCGCTGCTATGGAACCGGCATTGATATTTGGGCGACCGGCTGCATTTTCGCAGAGTTGCTTCTTCGCAAAGCACTGCTTCCCGGCAACAATGAAATGTCTCAGCTCACTCAAATTTGCTCGCTATTCGGCGCGCCCACAGAGAAAACGTGGCCTGTATGGTGCCTGTGATGACTTTGCTTTGTTTCCTTGCGAGTGTGTTTGGTGTCTGACCTTTTTTTTTGTGTTCTTGTGTGTTTGCAGGGTGTCACTTCACTTCCAACTTATGTCTCCGTCAAGGATTATCAGCCAACGCCGCTGCGTCAACTGTTCACAGCAGCATCGCCAGATTGCGTGGATCTCATCGGCAAAATGCTCACAATGAATCCTTCGGGTCGCTGTACTGCCACCGAGGTATTGGCGTTGATTGCATGCTGGTGGTTTTGTGGTGGTACCAATGGACTAATGTCCCCTTTTCTATCGCATACGACTTTTTTTTTTTTTTTTTTTTTGTTTTTGGACAATGGACGCTGCTTTTTCAGGCCCTCCAGCATGCGTACTTTAGCAACGATCCACCACCCACAGCACCAGCCCAGCTGCCACGTTACGTGCTTTCTGCCAAGGAAGAACGCGATCAAGCCAAGCGTCGTTTCGAAGAAGCTGAAGGGCTACCGTCCGGAATGCGTCCATTGAAGGTTGCTCGCCTTGAATTTTGAACAGCAAACGAAAAGAGAAAAAAAAATAACCACATTCTTGCAACAATAGAAATACAACATCACGCAGAGCCATGGCCAATCCATGTTGTTCAATCCACATCTGTCACAGCAAATGGAATGCTCCACTATTCGATGCCAAATCCGCTAGTCTCGTCGATAGCAAATCGGAGTTTGGACACGAGCTGCTCGTAAGTCCTGTACGCAGGCAGATCGAGGCGATGGAAGCACGAGTGACTGCGGGGAAGCGAATCCGGCGATCCGGTCTTTTCGATGCAGAACTTTTGAGGACCGTTGGCACCTTGCAAGTCCTTAAATCCGCCCATGGGAACCCGAGATGTGCCTGTGACAAACTGGAGAAGACGCGCTTTCGTCTCGGCATCAAACGACCGCACAGCCTGCCAGAACCACTTGACTTGTTTGCTTGTTGGCGTGTACGAACGGTAGATGGTGTTGGCTTCCCAATCAGCAACGTCCAGCTCATTCAAACCGCAGATAAGCAGCTGTAGCAGGGAAGGATTGATGTGTGAGGGGATAGTCAGCCAACAGAAAACAAACTAGACAAAACACCTCCCCCCGCCCAATGTTGGAAATCTTTGCTCAACTAAACCCAAACGCTGATATCAAAAGACTCACTTCCAACTCTTTCTCGTCAAAGATGCCCAAAAGCTGAGGCGGGATGATCTCATTGAATCCAAACATGAACGACTGGAATTGGTCTTTGATTCCTCGGCGCACTCTCCAGTCAACCATGGCTCTGCGGAAACAGCAATCAATGGCCGGTGAGATCAAAAAAAGTCATCGGGGACAGTTCAACAACAGCAACAAAAGCACGCAGACAACCAAAAGCACACAGGCAACCACGTACTGAATGTACTCCTTCTTGTTTTCTTCTGTTACTCGGGTTTGGGCGCCATTCTCACGCAATTCGACAGTGTTAACGACACCAAAGGATTCATGATCAACCGTGAAGCTCAAATCAAGGTCGTAGTCGGCGTTGTCAATGTCGTTATCCCTGCCAAGCAGCAAAACGTTAGCCCGGTTTGACAACGCAATCCACCGCCCAAATGCCACCGCCTATGCAATCTGGTCGAGCTTACAAAATCCACCGCAACGAATTGTAATACTCGACGTCTTCCGCCTCCATGTCTGCAAGCACAACGGGCCGATCCAGCATCATCTTGTAGAAGGCAAGCGAAAAGCCATTATCAATAAATTTGCCATGGAAGACAGCCATGCCGACCACTCGGCCAATAAATCGGAAGTACTCGAGATGCTCTGGGTTGATACCAGAGTCGGGGTTGATTTGCAGCGTGTAGTTGTTGCTGGCAGCATAGCTGTGAAGCAAAAAAAAAACAAGCGAAAAAAAAAAAAAAAACGAAGGAAAAACAAAATTAAGTGCAACTCCAACACACGCGCAAACACCGGAGACAAAGCATGATCAAACATACCGGAACAAACAGTAGTTGGGATTTAACATATCGTGGGACAAGAGGAAGAACCATTCGCGCGCAGGGCCACCGTAATCAAGACCCTCTTCGCCGTGGAACTTGACCATGAGCCGACGACGAAGCTCGAACGGAGGCTGGGCCATGACCTGATTGAAGGAATCATCAAAGAGTCGCTCTCGCGACATGAATAGACGGCATTCGCCAGGGAAGGCAAGGCTCTGCAACCGGCTGCGGAAGCCAGTGTGTTTCATTCGGAACTGTCGTTCGTATTGGGGCGCAGTTGTCGCGCTTGCCTCGCCGGTGGGTTGGTAGAACTTTGGTCGAGGATCCTCAAACGTAGTTGAGCGCGTCGAGTGATCGACATAGTACGGCCGTCCGTCGTTGGTGAATCGCTGCTCCCAATTGGGCGGGAAGGGCAGCGTGGACACCTCCAGAGCGGGAATCATGCTGTTAAAGAACTGCAACATGGCCATCTGCTGCTGTTGCTGAGAGAGCCGCGGATCCTCCCATTGTGTCACGCGGGTACTGTGGTTGACGAAATAGACGCGACCAGTCGGGCTCGTGCGCTGCTCCCAACCATGAGGCAGAGGATTGGTATTTGTGCCTGCAGCAGTGCCCGTTGATGCAGCGGAAGGCGATGCAGCGGAGGGTGATGCAGCGACCGGCGCAGTCTCGCTGCCTGGGGCAGTGGTGGCGCCAGCAACTGGCATCGGAGCGCTTGAAGACGATGTCCCTGCATGTTGTTGTTGTTGTTGTTGTTGGCTCTGAGACGAGGGATTGGGCGAGGCGCCAAGCGTACGGTGTGAAAACTGCTCGCGAGCCTGAGACATGATTGCTTGCTGCGATTCTTGCCAGCGGTTGTACTCGGCCACAGACTGAGCCGAGGGTCGTGCCCAGCTGGTTGTGCGAGAGTTGTGGTCCACGTAAAAGACGCGGCCTTGCGGATCGACACGCTCTTCCCATCCTGGCGGGAGAGGTGCCGCGGCTGCAGCGGCGGCGGTGGTAGTGGTGGTGGTGGTGGTGGAAGACGGGGCAGCAGCACTGGCAGCATTGACTGCAGACAAAGCAGCTGCATTCGGTGGTGGAGGGCGAGCGGGTGTTGTAAGAGCGGGATGGGCAGCGGCCGATGCCTGACCGGTGCCAACATGTGGCGCCGGTGCAGCAGCAGCAGCAGCACCAGTAGAGTAGTCCCAAAGCGGGCGCTCCCACGAGGTTGTGCGGGTCGTGTGATCGACATAGTATGGGCGGCCTTGAGCATCTACCCGCATCTCCCAGCCTGGCGGAAGCCCTGGACGGCTCGCGGGCGAAGGGAATTGCGAAGCATCCGGCGGGGGAGCGGCCGACGTTGATGCGACGGTGCCAGCGCTGACGGCCGAACTTTGAGAGACAGCAGATGCCGGGCGCGAGCTGGCCCCAACACTGGTTCGCCTCGAATCTGTCGGACGCGTGGACGGAGCCACCACCATTGAAACTGGCCGAGCACGGGCTTGTGAGGAGGATGGTGTGGCAGCAAGCCCAGCGGCAGGAACGGCGGCAGAAGGCGCGGCAGAGTGTTCGGCTGCCAGCCGATCGGGCCAGACAAAAGGCTGACCGAGGGGCAACAAGATGCACGACAGAGTGAGCTGGCCGGGCGAAACAGAGCTCAGAGAGCGATCCCGCAGGTCGCGGATGATTTCATGAGGCGCTTCGTGGCCTGGAGGAATGTCCATCACGGCGAGAGACGTTGATCCTAGCATCGACGTGCCAAGCATCTTGTTTTGCACGACAAAGGTGACAGTGGTGCTGTCAGACACGGTAAACACAAAATCACTGTTCCAGACCGGCTTCAAGCCCTGCGACGCAACGGAGGTGGTCTGCTTTTGAGGGCCCGCAGACGGATTGTGCAGAGTAACTTCGACAAAGGCTCGGGGCTGGAAGAGACGAAAACTCGTGCCACTGAGGTGGGCGCTCACAACGCGCATGTGCAGAGCACGCTCGCCGCGCGGCCCATTGATGGACGGCGGAGCATCGTCGCGGGGAGCCGGAGGCAGTCCCAGGTGATCCATGTCGTTGTCATCAAAGACCAGCGGCGTGGAGGAGGGGGCGGGAACCGGTGCTGCACTTGACGACGACGTGGAAGGCGGATGCACGCCGTTTTGCCCGTTTTGGTTTCGGCTCGCGACGGTTGGCTCCAGCACTCCAGATTGGGGCGCATCAAAAGCAACGAACGCGTCATTGCCCTGCAGGGGGTTGCCAGAGGTATCCAACATTTCTATCCGACGCTGGAGCTGGATGAGCGAGGGCGGCAGGGTTGTCATGGCATTCCGAGCCACCGAGACAAACTGCAAACGCGTCAAGAGGCCAAGCTCTGCTGGCACATCCTGCAGCATGTTGTCCGACAAATCCAGGTGCGTCAGCTGTTCCAGCTTGTTGATGTTTTGAGGCAGCGAATGGAGGGCGTTGTGTTGGAGCTGGAGCGACTGGAGGTTGTGTAGGAAGGTGAAGAAGAGCTGCGGCAGCTCGGACAGCTGATTTGCCGACGCGTTGAGGACGACAAGCTGTGTGCAGCAGCAAATATCGGCAGGCAGCTTGCGCAGGCGATTGCCGCTGATGATGAGCTGGGTCAGCCGGGACAATCGGCCAACCGACTCGCCCAGCTCGACGATGGCATTGTCGGACAGATTGAGGCGTTCGAGCGAGCCCAAGTTGCGAATACTATCGGGAACACTCACAAGGTGGTTGCTCGACAGGTTGAGACGCGTCAAGCGCTGGAAGCCAAAGTGGAACGCAGCCTCTGGGATGGAAGCGAAGCGGTCGTTGGTGACGGACAGCTCGAGCAGCTTCTCACCCAAGTACGCTTGGATGTTCGTCCCGTGTGGGACGCGACTGGCAAAGTCAGTGGGTGCTGGAAAGTGCTCGAGGTGAGCGTTGTCGAACGTTAAGCTGGATGGCGGAAGTGAAGGCAACGACGACGATGACGCGTTCGCACCGCCCGGCGCCGGCGACGACGCCGCAGACACATAGGTCGATGAGCCAGCAGACGCGGGCGCAAGCGACTGGCTGGCCGGCGCGAGGTGGCCCTGCTGGTTCAGCTCGTGGCTTTGGTCGTGGTGCAGGAAATCGTGCGAAGGCGACGGGCTCAGACCGAACGGATCCCACGGCGCCATTGCCGTCGCTGAACAACAAGCAAGGTACACAACCAAAAAAAAACCACCCCAAAAAGTGAATGAGTGCAGAGCAGCGTCGAACGAGGGCAAGGGCGTTGGGGTTGGGGGGTTACGATGAACGCAAAGAAAACCAAAAAAAAAAAAAAAAAAAAAAAAAAAAAAAAGAAAAGAAAAGAAAAAAAAAAGGAAAAAAAAAAGGGGAAAACAGGCGATTGAGATTGCAAAGTGGGAAACCGAGAGCGAGCGCCACCCTCGCAGAGCAAAAAAGGCGCAAACACCAACGCATCACACGTCGCAGAGAGAAAGTCGGAGGGTCGGGAAGGTCGGCAGGAGGAGGAGGAGCGGGCGGACGCGAGGTCGACAACCGATTTTGCGCGCCCTTTCCCTTCTGTCTGACCAAAGATCGCCTCCCTCCGTTCCGACAAAGCGACGGGGAAAGAAGCTCCAAAAAACAATAGCACGTCCAATCAGCAACAACGCAACCTGCAAAAGGGGGCCGGAGGGGCGGGGGAATGAGTGGATGGGTCCCCCATCGCTTTTTTTTTTTTTTTTTTTTTTTTTTTTTTTGGAGCCTTGCCTGCGTCATCAGCAGCGAGCGACGCGTCGGTGGCGAAGGGATTGGCTTCGAACGGCGAGCGCGACGGCGGCTGCGGCTCTGGTGCGGCAGCGGATGACAGCGAATGAGACGCGTCCGATGGTGGCGCTGCTGCCAGTGACGACGACGTCGCTGATGATGATGATGGAGAGGACGGTGCGGCCTCGGCAGCAGGCCAGGGCGCGAGCCAGCCCAAATCACTTTGATTGCTCATGACGAGTGCGCTCCCACCCAAATAGAGACCACCGATCGCATCGAAAATTATTTCGTCAAAAAAACTGCTTGATCATCAAAGGGGGGGGGTACATGGAACCACAACAAGGGTGCAGATGCAAAGATTTCAGAATGATGAAATACTGTTTTTTTTTTGTCTTTTTTTTTTGTCTTTTTTTTTGTTCAACAATACACAATTCGAGAGACACACACGAAACCACAAAGTAAAACCGTTTAGATGGTAATGACTCGGCTCAGCTTTTGCAGGCGGTTGAGCAGCTGGTCACCTGACTTGATGAGCGATTGGTACTGTGCGTTCTTGCGATCTGGGCGAGTGGCCTCGACAATGCCAGCCACCTTGTCAATCTTGCAGTGCAATCGGCCAGCAGCAATGAAGCGCGAGAGTTCACTGAGGGGGGGGGGCAAAAATCAAGCAAGAGAGCGCGAACGAAAAAGCAACGACAATGTGAGCTTCTCGAAACCGACCAACAACGACACAACACACAAACGCAACACAGCTGCCACAATCCGTACCGATCAACAAAGCCAATCGAAACACCGAAATGATCTGCGACAGATTGAAGAGCCACGCTACGATATGACTCGAGGAATTGTGTGTAGGCGAGAATGCGCATCTCGCGAGTGTAAAACCGAACATGAGCAGCAAGGTATCGGTCAGCCTGCAATTCGCCCTCGAGACCAGCTGTGTGGAACCAAAAGCAGGTGGTGGTTAGGATTGGGCAAACGACAAACACGGCAACCAAAAATAAATAAACAAAAAAATGAACGACCATTCCTCCCCCTCAAACCCGTCCATACCCAGAGACTGGAAGAAATCTGCAAACCGGCTCTCGTAGAGCGAGGACAGGTAGTTGCTAATCAGAGGGAGATCGTAAATGGCCTCCTTGACTTCGGACGCGTCAACAATCTTGGACTTGAGATCAACACGCGACAGGGCAAACGTCGACACAATAACAGTGTACGCAACGAACTGCTTGTAGGTCATGAGCTCATACGACGTGAAGGTGGCAAGGCCGTCGCGGAGAAGCTCGGACGCCCGCTTGAAATCGCGCACCGTCATGCAGTACACTGCCTCGTACGTCTTCAATCGGTTGCGACGATCCCAGTCGCCGCCTTCCTCAATAAGTCTGTGATGGAATTTTGGGTGGGAGGAAAGGTGGGTCGTCAGTCGTTGTGGTGGGTGTTTTGCTGTTGTTGAGGCAAAAAGACGAGCCGCTCCGCTTACTGCTTGGCCTTGGCAATGCCAGCCTTGATAATGTCGTGGTCCATGTGGAAGAGGCCGAGTCGGATGACTATGCAAAGAACAGAAAAGAAGCAGTGATGAATTAGACGAAGGTGTGAAATCAAACGCGAACAACCGAAAGCGACTCACGGTTGAACTGCAAATCCAGGCGCTGACCCGAGGCAACTGTCTTTTCGGCAGCAGCAGCAAATGCCTTGGTAGCACGCTCCTGTACCATGCGAAAACATACCACAAACACCAGAAACGCAAGCGACCAAAAGTGAAAGTGAGTTGCAGCGAAAATGCACTTCAGAGGGCCCCTCCTCCGCCATCGCCACCACGCACCTTGTCGCCAATCTTGCAAATGTACTCGGCCTTCTTGAGCAGGGACTCGCGGACTTCCGTCTCGCCTTGCGACTTTTGGGCCTCCGCCAGCTGGTCATCGAACTTTGCAATTTCAGCATCGTTCGCGGCCTCCATCGACGCGAGCAGGGCAGCGTCCACTGGGAAGGCCAAATCGGCAGCCAGTTGCTTGTAGAACGGGGCCATGTCTACAGCAAGGGGAAATGGCAAACGGCAACGGCAACGGCAACGCGAGTGAGCTCGAAGACCAAAAAAAAAAAAAAAAAAAGTTTCGAGATCTCAAACGATTCACAGTGATGGTTGATGAAGTTCCCCCCCCCCTTCGAAGGGTGGAGGTGGAATGGCGATGGGCGCGTTCACTGCAACATGACCCGACTGCCTCTATCGTGAAGGTGCGCAAGTAACACGCTGGGCGATGGCGGGCAGCAGGGGAAAGAGCGACGCGTTCAGTCATCACACGCATCTCAATGGGACAAGGCAGCCTCCCTACCCCCATCGTCGCCACACGATACATCTATCTATCACTCTATCACTTCTCGCCAATCGGCCGCGTCAAAGGCGGATTTCAATGAGCGCAATCGGGGACGAGGGGTTGGTTTTCTTACTGTCGGCCTTCACTGCCACAAGCAGCTTCTCAAGTGCTGCGGCACGGTCTTCGGCGACACCTGCAACCAGCTGGAAACGCAGCTGGGCGAGCTCCAGGTTGGGGTTTTTGGCGAGTCCTTCTTCTTCCATTGTGACGGACTGGTGTTTGGTTGTTGAAAAAAAAAAAAAAAAAGAGTGGGCTCTCAGCTTGTGTGTGCCGCGATTGGTGATTTGCGATTGTAGATGAGATGGAAACAAGTGTACTTTTTGGTGAAAAAATGGGGGGCCCCGTTGTGCAGGTAGGAGCGTTTGATTGATTGTGGAGTCGAACGAACGCGAAAATTTCCAACTTTCCGACGCGTTTTCTGGTCGTTTGTGACTTGCATCTCGCTTCATTTTTTTTGATTGCATCCGTTTTCTTCTTCATCTTCTTCATCTTTGAATCCAAACCCATTTCGTTTCACCTTTCGAAAATCCACGGTTGAGAAGCGAAAACTCACTTTTCCTTTTTTTTTTTTTTGTATTTCTGTGAGTTTTTTTGATTGTTGCTTTATTCTCGTTGATGTTTGTTTTTTGTCCGTTCGCCCCACTTTGCGATGCGTCCGCGTGTTTTCGCCGCGTGTGTGCGTAACTGGGGCTTGGCGAGCATGTGTGGCACCATGGCGCCTTGTAGCACACGCTCGTCGCACAGCCTGTTGTTCGGGCGCTGGCGGCAGCAGCGAAAAAGAGTGAAAAGTGACGCTTTTTTTGTCCTTCTATTTTTTTTTTTTTTTTTTTTTTCCGTGTCCCGCCGAATCGCGCCTGCACCAACGAGCGACCGGTGTGAGCGCGCATTCCGCATCCAGCTACCGCCACACCCTGCAGGGGACACACTTCCCCCCCCCCCAACACCCCCACATCCGCATCCGCATCGACCGGAGCTGAGACCCAACTTTATGATTTCTTTTTATTGTTTTTGAACGTTCAGTTTTCGCGTTAATCCGACAACCGCAATGGCAGTGTTCCAATGGCAATGGCAGTGGGGCTTGCTTTTTTCAAAACCCGCAAACAGCCAACCCGAAAGCGAATGCCTCGCCACAGACACCCCGACGTGCCCTGCTGGCCATGGCTGGTCGCTTCGATCATTGCGTTTGTGATGATGCGACCCAAAGAAAAAAAAAAAAAAGAAAAAAAAAGTCTATTTTTTTTTAATTTTTGGGGTGTTGTTGTTGGGTCGTTCGCTGCTTCCTGACAACCGGCCTCTCTCCCCACGTGCATCGCTTATTCCTACAAACGAGCGTCAGCGTCGTTGTTGTCGTTGTCGTTGTCGTGGTCGTTGGTGGCTGCGTGTGTTTGAAATCATCGCGTTCTCATTCAAAACATCGAACAACAGTCGAACTTTTTTATTTTTATTTTTATTTTTTATTTTTGTTTTTCCTTTGATTTTTTGTCATTGTTTTTTTTTTCTTTCTTTTTCCACCTTTAATTGATTTTTTTATTTTATTTCACCGCTGTTTTTAATTTTATTTTTATTTTTTTGTTTGTTTGTTTGTTTGTCAGAACGGCAATCGTGAGTCAGCAAATCGACTGGGATTGCAGCAATCAATTGGAGGACGATTGAGCGAGTGCTACGAAGCAGAACGGACACTCAATTGCAGAGACGAGGGGAGGGGGGGGGGGAAGAAGTGACTGCTCCTTGCTTGTTGTCTGGCGACTGTCCGAAATCCTCTTTGACACGATTCGGCCCTTCCCTCCTCATCCCTCATCCTTCATCCCTCATTCTCTCTTTCTCTCATTCTCTCTTTGTCATCCAGATTGTTATCTCTCAGCCACAGCACCACAACCCCACGCATGATTGCAAAATTCTCGTCAGTCCAAAACCGCAAACTCACGCCTACCCCTTTTGTTTTGTTTCTTGGTAAACTGCAGCTTTTTACTCTCCCATTCGTGGAAGTGGATCACCCCTGACACCAGGCTCCAAGCAACCTCAAGAAGAAGAATCCATATTTTTTTTTTTTGTGGCTGGATCGTGACATTACCTCCCATTGAGCAAGTCTCCCCTCCACTACAACAACTCTGCAACCATGTCAGGTTTATTCAAGTCTTTCGGCACTAAGAGTAAGCATTGTTCAGCATCTTGCAACCCTTTTGCAGACGAAAGAACTGTTGCCTGATTGATTGTTGCGTTTTGTCGTTTTAGAAGACAAAAAAGACGACAAGAAGGAAGACAAAAAGGACGACAAGACCAAAACCCTCAAAAAGGGTAAAGACGAGTCAACCAGAGCTGCAAGTTGACTTTGACAGGCACACTATACTGACCCCCCTTTGTTTTTGTTGTTTCCACTCGCTTTCTTGCATCCTTGCTCTCGTCTGCTCAGACGGATCTTCGTCCTCAAAACCAGGTAAGTGAGCCTCATCATTTCGACCATTGTGGCCAGTTCTTGCATGTGATTTTCACTTTTGTGTCTCTCTTTTTCTTTTGTTACTTGTGTGTTTGTACAACAGAGACCAAGGTTTGTTCCGTCGGCGTCATTCCCCATGTCGATCCTGTTTTGCATGAATCTTCACTCATTGTTTTCCACCCCCTTGCTTTGGCTGTACCTTTTCCACGATTCAGGAGGAGGATTTGGACAAGCCCCATGGCAAGCTGGTGGTGAACGTTTCCAGCGGCAGGGGGTTTGCACCCACGTCGGCAAACGTTGTCTGCGTCGTGTCGTTCGAGCGCAACCAAACCCTTTCGAAGACCAGTGATGGTGCCACTCCCAAGTGGGATCAATCAATCACCTTGTAGGTTTTCAATCGCGTCGCCTCCGTCTAATTGTTGTGTTTTGCTTTTTTTTTTTTTGTACTTCTTGCCGATGCTCACACATGTTACGCCTTGTCGTTTTCTTGTGACATTTCTCCATGTAGTGATGTCACTGACAAGGGACGAGACTTGACGATTGAATGCTATTCGCGTGGTGCTTCGGGGAATGAACTGATTGGCAGCGTTCGCATCCAGCCAAGTTACGGCGATCAGGTGAGTCGTGCTTTCTCTTGTTGCGACTGTTCGTTTGGTGGCGCCTCGGACACTCTGTGATTGCTCACTCGCTTGGAATCCATGCACACAGGCAAGCATGACAGACCAATGGTATCGCCTGCGCAACAAGGACAATACCGCAGACACTGCTGCAGAGCTGCATGTCGTGCATACCTACAAGCACACCGAGGCAACCAGGTCGCTAACAATCAACGATTTCGATTTGCTCAAGGTCATTGGCAAGGGCAGTTTCGGAAAGGTACCCGTCCCAAAAAAACATTGAACGCAAACAAACAACCGCACCTTCTTGTTCTGATGATGGCTTCCGCCGTTCTCTCATTCTCGTCTGAAACTTTTCCTCTCCACCAACTGAACTGTAGGTCATGCAAGTTCGCAAGAAGGACACCAACCGCATTTATGCGATGAAAATCTTGAAAAAGTCGCACTTGGTTGAGCGCGACGAGGTTGGCCACACCAAATCTGAGCGCATTATTCTGGCCAAGAACTGCTCGCCCTTCCTTGTTGGGCTCAAGTTCTCCTTCCAAACACCCGAGAAGATTTATTTGGTGCTGGATTACGTGAATGGCGGCGAGCTCTTCTTCCACCTCCAGAACGAAGGCAAATTCTCCGAGCAGCGCTCCAAATTCTACACTGCGCAGCTCCTTTCAGCTCTCGAATCGCTACACGCCATCAACGTCATTTATCGCGACCTCAAGCCTGAGAACATTCTTGTCGATTTCGACGGCTTTATCGCTCTGACTGATTTCGGACTTTGCAAGGAAGAGATCAAGCACGACGAAAAAACCAACACGTTCTGTGGCACTCCCGAGGTAGGTGTTTTGTTTTTTTGCTTCTTCTTGAGTCTGTTTGATGTGAATGGAGCGCAGTTTGTGTTTTTTTGTTCTTTATTTCGCTCACTCGCCTTTTTTTTTTGGTGTTCTTGTCTTTTAGTACATGGCGCCGGAGGTGCTGCAGCAAAAGGGCTATGGCCCATCAGTCGACTGGTGGACGCTTGGCATCTTGCTGTACGAAATGCTCACTGGTCTTCCGCCGTTTTATGACGAGAACACAAATCAAATGTACCACAAGATTCTGTTTGGAGACCTTGTCTTCACGGACGAAATTTCCCCGAAGGCTCGGTCGTTGATTGCAGGCTTGCTCGATCGCGACCCCGCAAAACGACTTGGTGCAGGCCCCAACGGCGCCAAGGAGATTAAGCAGCACGCTTTTTTCGAGGACATGAACTTTGCCGATCTCGAGGCAAAGCGCGTTCCCGTTCCTTGGAAGCCGTCGTTGGAAAACCAGTTTGACACTAGCAATTTCGATCCCGAGTTCACCGAGATGCAGCCCCAGGACTCTGTTGTTCCCGACTCGCATCTCAGTGCGACGGTGCAAAACCAGTTTAAGGGCTTTACATATGTCGACCACTCGGAAGCACTTCAAGGAGCGATGTGAGCGGCGATTTGCGCTTCGCTCTGTTTCCTTCTGGTTTTTTTCTTCTCCCGCGTCGTCGAGTCTGTGTGTCGCTTTCAAGCTTCCTTTGTGTGTTCTTGTCTTTGCAACTCGTTTCCTGCTTGTTTTTTTTTTTTTTGTTGACGTGCTAGTTTCGCATGCTACACGAACTCATTAATGTTGTTGTTTCTTTGATTGCTGTCCTCTCCTGCCCTAGCCTCTGCTTTGGCGCACGAGTGTGTCGTTGTTTTTGTTTTGTTTGTGTGTTTTGGCCGTTTGTTTGTTTGGCTCGATGTCGTTTGTTTTTTTTCGCTGGCATTCTGGAAAATGCTGAAAACAAAATTCTCAAAATAAATGGTGCTGTTTCATGATACTGGAGCAAGTTGATAAGACTCTTCTGCTGTATTGCAAACACGACGAACGAATTCTTTTCAAAAGAATGAAACAAAAAGGCAAGAAAACCAAAAAACAACCAACAATAAACAAGATCCTACAGAAACAAGCAAGGCTCTAGTGGAAACACTCAATTTGCAAAGCCATTTGCTTCTCAATCACTTTGAGGACAACGTCAAGACGCGCCTGAATGCCACCGTCGTCGGCGGCTCCATCGTCCGGGTTGGAGCTACCAGCGTGCATGAGCGTCTGGGGCCGAGAGCTGCTGGTCTTGCCCGCGACTGGCGCTGTTTTGGCGTGCAGCGTCGCAAAGTAGCGGTCAAAAGCGGCAAACAAGCCGTCGCGGACTGCCTTGCCTTTCTTGTTGTAAAATCGACCTAGCGCGCGATCAAGCAGCCGGATTTCAAGCCATGCCTGCATGGCCGACTCGCGTGAAATTCCAGACGCTCCGGCCGCCTCCAAGGGCTTGTGCAACAGCCGATCAAACTCGTCCAGGATGGTCTCGCTGGCAGCACCAAGCACGCGCGAGAGGAACGAAGGTGCCAGCGAAAAGATGTCAGCGTGGAGCGACACGAGCAGGTAGAGCAACTCTTTCGCATACTCGCGCACATCGGACGGCACGGTGGCATTGCTGTCGCCGAGGCCGCCGGTCGGAACGGTGGCTGAGCTTTTCTTGCTCGAAGACTTTTGCGATGCTTCTGCCGAGGGCGCAGTGGATTTGATGTTCTTGGTGACGCTGTTGAACGGGGCAAGTAGGAGCACGCGATCGTTCAAATCGGCGGCGGCACGAATCAAGCTCTTGGTGGTTTCGCCCTTGAGATCCATGTAAGCGCCGAACACGCGGGCATCCACGTCGCTCAGATGATGCTTGACAGTATCGACGACCTGAGCAAGATCGGGAGAGGCGGGACGGACATTGCGGCGCTGCAAAACGAGCGACCAGTGCGTGGCGCAGCGATGAACCAGGACTTCGCGAGTGAACAGACAGTTGGCTAGCGACAGGATGAGCCGACGCTCAGTCTGCGGCCGATTCGGATCGGTCTCAAACGACGACAGGAGCGAAGAGCGAGATGCGGTCAGCGATGCGCGACCGCGGTTTTCAGCATTGGCTGCTCCTGTGGTTCGGCTGTTGCCCCACCGCGATGCCATGGGTGTTTCATCGTCGTACTCAGTGTCCGAGTCGATGGTATCATCGACAGCATGCTGAACAAGAGTCTGGTCGGCGGGCGTGGAGCCATCGGTGGCTGTTGCAGCATCGCCGGTGCCAGCTGTCACGGGCTTTGCGTCGCTGCGATGCGTCAATGAGCTGGAGAGAGGGCGAAGCACGAAATGCCCCACAAGAGCGACTTGGCCCGTTTGCAACTTGACAGGTCGGCTCCGTCCACTCCGTGCTGCAGCCTCGCGCTCGCTCATGAACGCCAGCGTCTGCAGCAGCGTCCCAAACCGCTGCAACAGTTCCAAAATGGCCTTTTCTGCGATTGCAAGGATGACCGTTTGACGGGCTGTCTCTTGATTGGTCCCGGGCAAGGTTTTGAGGGAGCTGGTCAGGCTCAGCGCCGGCCCCACACCACCGGACGGGACACGCACACCCAGTCCACTCGGCTCAACAACAGCGGCAAAGAGATTGAGAGCTGAAACGATCATGGTTTCGAACGCGCGCGGAAGACCGGTTGTCGTGGGATACTTGCTGCCAGGCGATCGTCGGATTTGCCAGACCTCTTGACTGCCGAGTGCTTCGATTTCTGTGAGTGAGTGTGTGAGGGGTGTGTTTCCAGGGGATGAGGATGAGCGCAAAAAATCACACAAACGCAAACACTGAGACTCAAGACAGCACAACTCACCAACTGAAACGTGATGGGAAATGGACGCGATCGACCACACGCGCAAGTCGTGCAGCATCGTGAGAGCCGCGGAAACGGAGGAAAGCTGAGGAGAATTGCCGGAAACAACGACCGTCATGACGCAACGGGCAATTTCGATGGTAGCTTCCGCCAGCTCTGCGGGATCAACGAGAAACAGCATGGAGTTGTGAATGGACTCGGAGGGATGGATGTGCATTGCGTCCACGCCTGCGGCAGCGAGAATGGACTGCAGCTCAGCGTCTGGGCGGCTCGGCGCTTTGGTGTTGCTCGCGCGCAGAAGGGTTTCGAGAAGCGACGACTGCGGCAAACCACTGCTCGTCGCAGATGCGGGGACGCTCGATGCATCCGAGGTCGGAGCCAGCGTGAGCGCCAAAGGAGCCAACACCAAGCGAAGGAAGGCGCTAAACGTTTGCATAACCTGTCCGATGACATCGGCGAGATCGCCCTTGCCGTGGTAGGTCGACCCGCCGCTGCTGCTGGTGGTGCCGGCGGCGGAGGCGGATGTACGCCCCGATGTGGATGTGGACTGTGGCTGCTGGCGCTTCACGCGTCCAGCAACTGCGAGCTGACCCAGGGACCACATCTGAGGAACGTTGGAGGAGATGAGCTCACACACTTGGCGCACGAAATGAATGACCGTGGCGGGAGAGCTGGCAGGCAGAGAGGCCCGGAGCGCAAATTGTTCTTGGGATGGCGACGTCGTTGCGGTCGGTGCACCCTTTCCTTTGGCCTTCCCGCTCTTTTTGGTCTTGTTACTACTACTTCCAGACTGACTGGATTGGCCACCATCGACGCGCCCAACTTGCCTGTGCTGATCCCACTCGCGCTGCATTTGGTTGCGGCGATCGTACTCTTCGCGCTGTGCCTGATGGAGCTCGTCGAGCGCGCGTGTCATCATGTTGATGAGCCAGTCGCGGATGTGCGACAAGCAGTACCAGACAGGATCCTCTTCGGCGTCCAGTTCAATCAGGTACCGAATCAAGCGCTCCTGCTCGTCCAGCGCGGCCGGGCGTTGCAGCCGCTTGAACAAGGTTGCCCGCAGCTCACCCATGATGCGCTCGACTTCGGCAACCACTTGGTTGAAGACGCCAATTTCAGAGTCGCCAAACAAGGACTTCATGCGCTTGTAGTCCTGGATGGCAACCTCCAGGTTTTCCGCGCGAATGTTTGCCTGCATGTTTCGCGGGAGGCTGAACAAGAACTTGTGCCGATGCAGCACGTTGAGCACGTTGCGAATCGAGTCGGAGCGGTCTTTGCGGTCGAGCAGTGGCGAGAATTCATCGTGCGCATAGTGCGACGCCTCGTTGATGATCGAGTCAAACCTTGTGGTGATGGGTCCGTCGGCGGCCTTCTCCGACTTGATGATGGCGCCTCGCAGATCGTCCAGCGCCTTCTGGCACAGGATAAAGTCGTCAAAGTTGTGCTTCATCCACTTGTTTTGGGCTTCGCCGCGAATCTCGATGAGCTCGTGCAAGTGCGGAATGCCCGCCTTCAGCTCTTCGAATTCGGTCTGCCCATGCGCTTCATTCAGGAACAGGCCTGCGTCAAACTTGGCTGCCGATGGCAGTGCTTGCGGCGACAGAGCGCGCAGTGGCTTGATGCCCATTGGATCGCTCTCAGCGCCTCCGCCCGCGCCCCCGCTCCCCGGCGCGGCGCTCTCGGCGGCATTCAGCGGCATGACGCCCGTGATGGCGCCAATCATGTCCATCTCTGACGCGCCCATGCCCGCCTGAGCGTGGTGCTGGTTTGCATCGCTGCCGCTTGCTCCGCCGCCGCCGCCGCCAGCCATCGCCAAGCGCGCCGAGCGTGTGGCGTTGAACAGGGCAGTGAATGTGTCGTCTGTTGCAGTCATGTCCTTGTGGCTGGCCCAGTAGTCCTTGTGGTCCTCGACCCAGACGTGGAACTCTTTGACGAGCGTGTTGGTCAATGCAACGTCCTCCTCGCTCTCGTAGGTGAACTTGACCGTGCAGACGCCCGCGCCGCCGCTGCGTGTGGTGACAATCACAGAGCCAGCCCCGCGACCAGCGCCAGTCGTGCAGAACAGCTTGCTCGGCGACACGTACTCGATCGTCCGCACGCAGTCAACCCCGCAGATGGTCAGCGCTGTGTGGATGCCAAAGCGAGGTCGCCCCCCCCCCCACAAGAACACAAGAACACAAGAACACAAAAGAGCCATGGTGAGTCATCATCATCATCATCATCATCATCATCACAGGATGCGCCCCCCCTCCATCGAGGCGATGCGGTCACAATCTTAAAAGTCTACGTCCTTCTGAAGCTCT